GGGCAAGATGGGGCCTAGAACGAAGAAGAGAGGGATCTACCATGTGGAAAAAGGCAGGGGAGGCAAGGCGACTGAGGAGAGGACTATGGCATTCATTTTGGTTCTCTGAGTCCCCGCAGAGCCTGACACACAGTAGGCCTTGGCACATGGCTCTTAAGTCATAGGCTTGTGTGAGGAACACAGCGCAGCAGCCGCGACTCACTGAAGCCTTGCTACATGCCCGGAAGACACTTTACATCAAGATTTCTCGGAAACCTTAAAAAAAAAAAATTCTCAGAACCTCCAGAGGCAGGTGGCATTAGCCCCCTCTTTCAGATGATGAAACTGAGCCCCAGAGAATTAAAAGCATTTGCCCAAGGTCAGGCAGCTGGTAAGTGATGGAGCAGGGCCCTGGTTCCTGCCTGGACTCCACAGACCTTGCTCTCATCCGCTCTGCTGCAGACACAGACAGAAAACCTGCAAAGACCAGAAATAAGTTTGAGAGGAATCAGGCAGGCCAAAGAAAACCACCTGAGAATGCTTCCCACTGCGCTTGCATTGTCTCTGGGGACATCTCCCGGACCCTGGGCAGAGAGAGAAGGGAGTTTAGGACTGAGTCAGTCCTCCCCAGACAGGGTGGCCCCCGCTGCCCATGGTGACCCGACCCACCCTTACCAGTCCTGAGACTCCTGCTTCTGACCAGGGCTGGCCCATGTTGGCCTAGCCCCTCACTCAAACTCAACCCTGGTCACAAGGAGGCGACACTTCACAGGGTAGTCAGGCCTGGCCTGCGGGGAGGATGACGCAGGAAGTTCTCCCTGTTACTGCTAACATTGAGGGCAGCACCTGCGGAGCCCCTGGCACAGTCAAGCACCAAGAACTGTATCAGTCTTGTCTTGTTTAATATATACAACCTTACAAGTCAGGTAGTCTCATGAGTGGCCCCATTTTAAAGATGGAAACATTTACGTTGAGAGAAATGAGGTTATTCCCAGGAGACTAACCTGGGTCTGGCCAGATCCTGTGTGCTTAAGCAACCCACTTGGAGGTGAAGGGCTTGTCCACGGACCCCTGGAATCAGCCCTCCCTACCAGCCTCCACTGAGCGAGGACAGCCACGAGCACTGCGTGCTCCGTTGGGTGAGAGACGCAGGAAGGGTCTGGGGATGGGGTCGTGGACAGATAAGGCGCAGCTAACCAATGTTACCAGCCAGCATGCAGCACGTGTTGGATATTCTAGAGAACATACCACCCAACCACTCCTAATGCTGTGTGATGTTGGGCAAGCCACGGCACTTCTCTGTGCTTCGGTTTTCTCAGCTGAGCTACAAGGTCCCTTCTAGCTCCAAATAGGAAAGAGCCAGGGCACCTTTATGCTTGTCTTGTGTGAAGATGTTTCCAGGGCACCTGGGTGGCTCTGTCAGTTAAGCGTCTGCCTTCGGCTCAGGTCATGATCCCAGGGTTCTGGGATCGAGTCCTGCATCCGGCTCCTTGCTCAGCAGAGAGCCTGCTTCTCCCTCTGTCTGCTGCTTTCCCTGGTTGTGCTTTCCCTCTCCCTCTGACAAAATATAATCTTAAAAAAGGAAAAAAAAAAAGTCTGCTTTCAGCTCATGTCATGATCTCAGGGTCCTGGGATCAAGCCCCACACCCGGCTCCCTGCTTTGCCATCTCCCTCTGTGCTCTCTCACGTGCGCTCTCTCTCTCAAATAAAATCTTTAAAAAATTTAAAAAGAGCCTACAAAACTGTCAAAGTCACACAAGTTCCCTGGTCCAAACCAAAAGCAAGGGGCAGGCTCTTCCTCATACACCATCCTGGGGAGTTTCTGCTGCAAATTAACCCCAAGGAAAACTAATGCCTCTGTACACCTTTCCCTTTGGTTCGCCCACCGCCCGCTTCCCTGGAAACTTGGGCCATGTTCATGGCCACAACGCATGTGCGCACGCACACAGACATGCACTCACGCACATGGACCTGCCTCCTCTCCAAATCCCCAGAGGCTTCAGGTCTGGCTGGCTGCTACTTGGGGTAGTATCTAGCCTACACACCTAAGGGGTGTCACTGACATCCCATGATGGCCTCCACACAACTGACTTTCTGTGAAGACCTTAACATCTCACACTTCTTTCCTTCTCCTGCTCAGAAGCCCACATGGCACGTGGGCACACGTGTTGGCTAACATGTCCAAGAGCAAAAAGCTGGAAACGGTCTCTGTGCACAGCCTGAGGGGACGGGCAGTCATGCGATGGAACATTCTGTTGATAATTACCAACCTAGAGGGCCTGGTTCAGTCGGTAGAGCATGCGACACTTGATCTTGGGGTTGGGAGTTCGAGCCCCACATTGGGTGTAGAGATTACTTAAATACATGAAACTTAAAAAAAAGAAGAAGGAGAAGGAGAAGAAGAAGAATTACCCACCTAGAAATTACTCAACTTAGTGTCTGAGGTAAACCGTAGGTTCAACAAGACAGGGTACATTTGCATTGCAGGAAGCAGCCCAGAAGGAGCTATCAAATGCACCAAATGCCCTGGGAGGGCTTAGCTTTCCCACACTTCCCTCTTCGGGTTGTGGGATTATAGTGATTTTCTTCCTTTTGCCAATCCCATGTTTTCTGTCACATGTATGCATTATTTGGGAAGTTCAAAAATTTTACTCAGTGGCTGTTGAGTCAGCCACCCCTCCTCCTCCCTGGTACTTAGGGCTCTGAGACAACCGGGTTCCCCTCAATCTGTTCTACAACCGGTCCGCCACCACCCCATATAGCCATCATGGCCCATGTACAGTTATCCCCTTGTTCTCCCAACTTTTCCACCCTGCCCAGTCTTTCCAGGCCCTCCTCCATCCATAGAGCCTTTGAGCAGGGGCCTCCCCTCTGGCCACCAGCCCCGCTGGCTTGAAAACGCCTTCCTTACCACCCTCCCCTGGGCTTCCCTACTCCTGGTGTGTGGCTGCTCACTCCCACCAGGTGGTACGCTTCCTGAATGAGAACGGATCTTCAGCCTATCACTCACGCCCCATGGTACCCAGTCCAGAGTGAGAGCTTAGGAAACAACTACAAGGGAGCACAGGGGCTCAGGCCTGGTCAGAGATGGTGGTCTAATTGGGGAGAAAAGGCTGATGTATAAATGAAAAAGACAAGACCATCCACAGAATTAAGTTCTATGTTTCATGCTCAGAGTTAAAGGGAAGGGCTTGTGGGAAATGATCCGTGACCTTGCATTCAGGCTGCAGACTGGACCACATTAACTGAGGAGAAGCATCTGACCCCAATGGGAAGAAGCATCCCTAGACCCACCACTTCTCCTCCCGCCATAATGTTGCTTTGGTTTGTACTTTGGCTCCTCCCCCTAGCCAAGAGGCTGATGAACTTGGAACTGACACCAAGCTCTAGTCCTCTCCAAAGGAACCTGTCACTACTTCATGGTCTGTACCTCAGAATGCCAACCCTGCCTACAGCTCCAGCCCCAGAAGCAGCCAGGTACTGTATCAAGAACACTCCTGACCTAGGACCTTTGCACTTGCTATTCCCTCTGCCTGGAGAGCTCTTCCCAAACAGAAACAGCTCAGATGGCTGCAGAGACCCCTCCCTTCCTTCGGCCTCTATTCAAATGTCACCTGATCAGAAAGGCTTCCCAATCTTTGTAAAATAACACATCTCTGGTCACCCTCTGTTCCTTAACTCACCCTCTAACAGTCTTTTCTTCTAAGCACCTAGGCCTACCTGACAGAAATACAGTTAGTCATTCATGGTCTATATCCCCCCACTAGAATGTAAGCTCCATTAGAACAGGGGACTTGGTTTTTACTCTTTGCTTCATCCTTAGGGCCAAGCCAGCGTAGGCAGGCACTCAACAACTGTTAAATGGTTGTCACATGGAGGGCGCCGGGGTGGCTCAGTTGATTAAGCAACTGCCTTTGGCTCAGGTCATGATCCTGGAGTCCCAGGATCAAGCCCCACATCAGACTCCCTGCACAGCAGGGAGCCTACTTCTCCCTCTGACCCTCCCTCCTCATGTTCTCTGTCTCTCATCCTTTCTCGCTCTCGCAAATAAATAAATACAATCTTAAAAAAAAAAAGTTTGTCACATGGAGACACATCTCCCATACTTCTCTCGACTGACAGAATAAAAGGCAGCCAGCTCATCCATGGATAGACAATTCACAGGTGACTGTGATCTGTAACACAGAAAAACATGGCAGGCTCAACTGAGGTCTTTCTTCTGGAAATCAAGTTCGGGATACAAAGAATGTGAGGCCATCTTGAAAAGCAAGCGGCCCTGGGTGACCACACTGGGCCTGGTATAAGGTGACAAGTCATGGGTACAGATGGTGGGGCAGAAGCAGGGGCAGCTGGGTTGGGTGGAAAGAGAGGCACCACAGAAAGGCTGCTACTCTCTTTTCTGGAGGCTTCTGGAGCCCTGGTCACTCATCTTCCCACAATAATCCCCCACTTCCAACAAGCTACCTCGAATCCCTCAATCAGATTTGTCCACTGAAAGCAGAAATAGCAGCCCGCTAGGGGTGGTGGGCCAATTACAGGAAGATGAGAGCCATGCCTACCTCCAGCCGGCCCCAGGGCCAACCGCCCAGCCCACAGTTTGGTGGCACGATGTCCCCCTTGGCTGGTGCATTCTCCTGGGTGTGGTCCTGTGAACGGCCCTGGCCTCTCTCCCTCTGCTAAGAGATTTTGTTTCAGCCTCAGGCTTGGGGACTGGGCAGCAACCTGGGAGCCCTCCCTTCCTGGGAGGAGAGGAAGCAGTTCAAAGTAACAAGTCATTTTTACAGAGAAGACAAAACAGGCCGTCTCCTCACCCCAGGCACCCCCCGAGCTTGGCTGATCTCACGTTCGGGCCAGTCTCAGTCAAACATTTCAGATCTCTGAAGCCCAGAGCATCCACAAGAGGTTTTTATTTGCCACGGAATCAATAGTGCAAATTTGGTTCCATAAAAATCTGCCGAGTACACCTTAAACTTTTCAGAGTACGAGTGTTATTTCTTCTCCCACCACAGCTCCCGTCCCACCAGATGTCCTCTGTGGTCCAGCTGGCCTTGTTGTTCTATGCCTCCTAGCTTCTTGGGTCCACAGAGGAGCAGAGCTGCGCTGGGCTGAGGCGGCAGCAGCCCCAGGCCCTGGATGAGCCCTGTAGCCTCTCTAAGCTTCAGTGTCCTCATCTGGAACTTGGGGCCAGTAAGACCTGCCTTTTCTGCTTTTAATGAAGCACTGCACAGGAAAGCTGTAAGATTTTAAAACAAAAGAAGAAGAAGAACAAGTGTGTTCTCTTAGTTCCTGGTACTAAAGCCCCAGCCCCAAAGGCAGCCAAGAATACTCCTGCCTCAGGGCCTTTGTGCTTGCTGTTCCCTGGGCCTGGAGAGCTCTTCCCAAGTAGAAGCAGCTGGATAGCTACAGAGAACCCTCTTGTACTTTACTTAGCCTCTGTTCTTTTCCTCTTTCTTTTTTCTTTCCTTTTTTTTTTTTTTTTTAAGCCCTGGGTTATCATGGTTTGATCTTATGATTACAAAACAATTCAATTTTTTATTTTTTTTAAAGATTTTATTTATTTATTTGACAGAGAGAGATCACAAGTAGACAGAGAGGCAGGCAGAGAGAGGGAGGGAAGCAGGCTCCCTGCTGAGCAGACAGCCCGATGTGGGACTCGATCCCAGGACCCTGAGATCATGACCTGAGCCGAAGGCAGCGGCTTAAACCACTGAGCCACCCAGGCGCCCCTAATTCAATTTTTAAAAATGCGTGGGGAGAGGCAGAGGAGAGGGAGAAAATCCTAAGCAGACACCATGCTGAGCACAGAGCCTGATGTGGGGCTCAATCCCCAGACCCTGAGATCATGACCTGAGTTGAAATCAAGAGCCTGGCGCTTAACTCACTGAGCCACCCAGGTGCCCCACGGAATACTTTCAAAATAAGGTTTTGGCACTATGTTTTCCGGGTTCCAAATCCAGTGACTGTGGTCATGTCCTGAATCAACATTTCTAATAATTCATGAAGACAAGACATCAGTCATGGACTCAACGCTACGCGATGTCGCCATGTGCGGCATTCTCTTTTGTGCAGGATGCTGTCTAAATCGGGGCCCAGCAGCTAACTGGATGGGTACACGGTAACTCGGGGAAGCTGGGTCAGGAAACCGGAAGAGAGAATGTCATTTGCCCTCACCCCCACCCCCACCCCCACCCCCACCCCTGGGGCTGAGGGGAGGGAGCTCTTTTGAACCCGGAGCTCGGGCAGGAGCGGGGCAGATGCTGTGGAGGCCCCGATCCCCTGCTTTCACCATTTTAGCGCACACCAGCCTGCCTTCCACCTGGCAGAACCTGCATCTCTTGCCTGCAGGCTTTTTCTAGCAGTGGAGCTGGCAGTTGCTCACCCACAGAGCAGGCCAAAAGTGAGGGGTGGGGGAGCTCATCTCTACACCAGGAACACCACTCAGCCAATGATGGAAAGGAGCTGTGTATAAATACCCCCACTCCCTCCCTTCCGTGAGATAACTCTGAGGTGCATGTTCTAAGCTGTAACCCCAAGCTCCCTGCTGGGATTTTAAGTCCTGGTTGCCCACAGTATTCCTTTTCTCAACCACGGGCCTCTTATTGGCTTCTTCCCTTCTCTCTCTTCCCGGCTCACCTACTGGCGTTTTCTAGGACGCCTCCCAAATATACAACGTACACTCGAATCCTTACCTCGGGCTGCACTTCCAGAAGAATCTTTGGGGGATGATGGAGGGGCAGGAGAACTCACGGTGACTCACCAATGGTTGAAGCCAACTGGAAGCAAGAGGGTGTGGGAGCTCAATGTTGATGTTGGACAGGCCAAGCTCCTGGGACGGAGAGCAGATCTGGAGGGGCGGGGATGGGAGCGGGGGGGTGGGAACTAACGTGTTTCATGAAACCTACCTTCTAGTGAGGAGGGCAGAGAATAAACAGGCAATTGCAATTAGATAGGTTGGATACAATGACCAGAAAACACAGACTATGATGGGCTGTCCAGCTGGGAAGTCTGGACCATCCTGGGAAGAAAAAGAAATCAGTGCAGGTGTTTTAAGCAAGGGAGGGGATAAGAGCAGGTGGCACTGTAGAATGTAACCACAGCATAAAACCTGGATTGGGTGAAGGCAAGAGAGGTGGCTAGGAGCTAGCTGCTCCAGTGAGGGGGTGGAGGGGAGAAGGCAGCCTCGGTTGGGGTGCAGGTCGGGGTGGGGGAATGGAGGTGTGAAGGCCACGGAGGGGGCAAGGACGGCACTTGGAGATGGACTAAGGGGAAGGCTGGGGTGAGGGAGCACACTGTGGGTCCAGGGCTGGAATTGAGGGGGCCTGGGAGGTTGATGGTGCCAGACACTAAGACGGGGGGAAATGGACAAGGAGCCGGTCTGCCGCCAGCTCGGGCAGAGGGAGTACAGTTTGAGACACACTGAGTCCAGGGTTCCTGTGGGGATGGCAGCAGAGGCAGTGGGGGCGGGGAGGGGGGCGGCGGGCGGATGGCCCAGAACGGATGGCCCCGGACGTCAGAGGCAATGCCTCCGCCGAGCAGGATGTGTGGGAGCCGGGGGCGTGCTGAAGCCCCCCAGAGGAGAGCGAGAAGGGAGACGGCGCCCAGGGCGATGCTTGGGGAGCTGCCCAAGTGGTGGAGTTGGCAGAGAAGGCTGAAAAGGAGCAGCCGGCTCTGTGGGCGAGCAAAGTCGGAGAAAGACCAGGGGAGCTGCCATCAGGAGAGCCACGGGGAAACCACAGCCAACAGTCAGATGCCACCAGAAGGTCAGATGAGACAGGAGGAAAACGTTTGGTAGGGTCAGCATCAGGCCAGAGCGGTGACAGCCGAGTGACAAGAGGACACAGCCTGACGTCTGGGTTGAGGTGTGAGAGGGGACAGGAGGGCAAGGAGACTCCAAGCATAGACAGCTCCTCTCAGAGGATGGGACTATGTCCCTTTGTTAACACACCACACCCAGCACACCCAATGGCCTTCCTGTGGGCTCTGTCCTGCCAAAAGGGGCCACAGCAGACTCCCCAATCTCCAAATTGGAGGGGCTGTCAGTCAGGGTGTCCGTGAGGCCAGAGCTGGATGCCCCTCTTCCCAGCTCTGACCAGGCCCACTTACGCTTCTCTGGGTTTTTTGTTTTGTTTGTTTTTAAAGGTTTTATTTATTTATTTGAGAGAGTGCAAGACTGATAGAGAGCATGAGCAGGGGAGGGGTAGAAGGAGAGGGAGAAGCAGATTCACATCAGTAGAAGGAAAGGGAGAAGCAGACTCATATCAGGAGTCTGTAACTGAGCAGGAAGCCTGATGTGGGGCTCGATCCCAGGACCCTGGGATCATGTCCTGAGCTGAAGGTAGTCACTTAACCAACTGAGCTACCCAGGTGCCCTCATTTCTCTGTTTTTTATTCTGGACTCTGACAGTGCATATCATTGGAAAACACTGTTCTCCTTCCCAGAAACATGTGAAAAACCATCACTCTGGTCCTATTATCGATAGAGAAACTGAGGCCCAAGGAGGAAGAGATGCACCCAGCGTCCTAGAGACCCAGCCACAGGGCTGGAATCTAACGCAGCCATGGGACTCCAACTTTGGCATTCTTTCTACAACCCCACGGTCCCTAGAAAGAAAAGGGCCATGTCCAAGCCAAAGCCAGGGTCACACAGAGCTGCTGTTAGAGGCAGATCTTGGCAGCCAGTGAAAACAGAGACAGACAGGAGAGTAAACCCGAAAGGGCGTGCTGCCTGCAGCCCGTGCCAAGGAGGCGGCCCGCAGTGCGGGAACGGAGCCGCTTCCCCACAGCCCGGGCCTGACCGGCTGCCCCCGCACTGGCCACAGAGTCACCCACCAGGCCCTGCCTGCTCCCCAGGCCGCCTGGCCTTAGCCGGCTAGCCCACTGCACTGCAGGCTCCTTCCTTCTCCCAGCCTGCTCAGGCAAGCCCATGAATAGAACATTAAAGGCAAAACCTTCTAAAAGAAAAAGCAGCTCCCTGGTAGGAGTCGCCCCACTAAATGTCAAATACAGAGCAAGGCTTTCTGCCTCATATGCTTCTCACTAATGGAGGCACCTTAGCTTCCATAGCCCCATCATCCAATCGCCCTATAAATAAATCATTGAAAGAAGAATGCCAATTTTCCCCCCAGGGCCTCATGAATCTCTCTATATAACCATATGTAAAGGCCTCCTTCTCTGTGTTGGCGCAGGTGCCCAGAGAAGGATGGCAAAGTCTGCTAGGGCAATTTTAGAGGCAGAAGCAAACTTTCACACCATCTCAGTGGGCTGTGAGTTGACAGCCCAGCTTTTCTCCTGACTTGGGGAAGACTTCTGCTCAATTTCCTTTTTTTTTTTTTTTTTTTAAGATTTTATTTATTTGACAGAGAGAGAGCACAAGCAAGGGGAGAGGCAGAGGCGGAAGGAGAGGCAGAGGGAGAGGCAGGCTCCCCGCAGAGCAGGGAACCCAATGTGGGACTCGAACCCAGGACCCTGGAACCATCACCTGAGCCAAAGGCAGACACCCAACCAACTGAGCCACCCGGGCACCCCAAATTCTGCTCAATTTCCTGCAGCACCACCCTGACGCTGCCTCCATGGCCCGCTGGAATCAGCCCAGGAAGCTGCCAAGAGACCCCTCTGCAGGGTCTGCTCTGGTCCCTTCCCTAGAGCCCACCCCTGCGGGCAGAGCCAGACACCAACTAATTGAGCTTGGCTCCCGGCTTTGCTAGCTCGAGGTGCAGAGCGCGCCGGCCCACTCACTCCTGGAGGCCCCCCACTGATGAGCTCACCAGCCCACTGATGGCACCAACGTGCCGCCGTGCTACTGGCCCCAAGGACCAGGAGGTGGGGCACACACGCGTGGGGTGCCCCACTCTACAACAGGGGGCTTCAGGCACGCATACTTCCAGTGCCTGTTGCATGCTTGCCAGGTGTGTTTCTACAAACGCGCGCGTGCCCGCGTGCACACACACGCGCGCGCGCGCACACACGTATACACACACACTGTATTGTGCCAACCCTCTTGCCATGCCAGCACGGAGGCTGTTTGCTGTTTTGGATCCCAGTTTTGCTGACTGATGAGACAATGATCACAGGCTCAGAAGCCCTGGCTTGTCTGTGAGATCAGACCTGAGCGTCACCGTGGTGGGGGGAGCTCCTTGCTCAGAGGTGGGAGTGTGCCTTTCTACCTCCCGAGACCACCTAGACCTCTCGGCCTTAACTCTTTCTTCTTTCTTTTCCAAACCCTAGGGAAAACTGGCCTCTGGAATTCAACCATGGCCGGAAGGGGGCAGAATTCCCTTCTGGAGGACAGGTCTGAGCTCTGCCATTACAGTCCCGCTAACAGACTAGGGCTGGGCCATGGGAGCACCACCCCAGGGGTAAGGGAGAACTCCAGAGGTGGGGAGCAGGTAAGGGTGGAGGGACCCGCTTCATCCAGCTTCAGCCACCCCGTATCCTGGGGCTGTTGCTCCCCAAACAAGCACCTGCCAGTCTGGGATGCAACTTTGTGAAGAGCGGGATGTGTGGGAGCCGGGGGCTCCCTTAGCCAGGAAGAGCAACATAGGAGGAAGGACCAGCCCCCCAAATAAACCACGTCCCAGCCTTTCTCAATGGCATGAAAGCAAGAGGATGGGCTGGCCCACTGTCCCATCCCTGCAGTGAAGAAACCAGAGCAGGAGGGGAGGAGGCAGGAGGTGAGGGTGTGTCTGCCCAGACACAGAGGGAGGGTAGGGAAGAAGAGGACAGGTGAGACCCTGGGGTCTCAGAGCCTCAGGGTCCCAGACAGAGACGCTCCTGGAGGTGCAGCAGAAGGGGAGCGCATGGGAACGACCAGAGAGCTCTGTAACAAGATACAAATGATTCAGCACCCCGCAAAACAAATGTCATGTAAATTCAAGGCAGATGGGCATGTGAGACAGTGGAGCTTAGGGGTTAAGAGAGCAAGCAAGCGAAAGAGTGTGGCGGCAGACGGATCGGGGATTGCATTCTGACTCAACAGTGTGCCAGCCGTGTGACCCAGGGCAAGGGACTTCATTTGTCTGTGCCTCAGTTTCCATTATCTGTAGAGCAGGGACAAGTACAGACTGACCTCAAAGGGCGACTGTAGAGATGACATGACATAAGGTATGTTGTCCACTTAGCCTGGCCCATCGGTAATTAATTATAAGCAGGTATTGGAGTCCACGGACGGTGACTGGCACGAGTGGGTCCTTGCTGCCCCTGTCTCCAGCTAGCGTCCATACCACCTCCTGGTGGGCTTAACCAGGCATGCTCAGAGATGCGACACAGCTTGGCTTTGCCCTAGTGATGGACACCAAGTCAGGGTGCCTCCTCTACCCAGTTCAAGGCATCCAAGGGGGTCCCTGCTCTTGGACCCCCAACCTTGGAACTGATGTCTTGCTAGGTGTTGTCCCAGGCCTGGGAAGTCCCTTCACCCTGAAGTCCCTGCCCCTCTCCTCTTTCTGACTCACTTCTAGTCAGGGTTGCCTGGCCAGCGCACCCCGAGAAAGAGCTGCTTCCGGCATTCTGCGCGGAGGTCCTGCCTTCTGCTGTCCCTGGAGGCTCTGTTCCCGTTTCGCCAGCTATTTTGCTTCCTTGGCCATCTGTTCCCTCCCTGTCATCTCCTCTCTGCCTTCACCTTAACCACTACTTTGCTGCAGATGGAACCAAACGGATCCGTTCTTGACATCCTTCACGATGCCTGCCCCCTCCTTCTCCTCTCCAGCAAGTGAACTTCTGCTCTGTCCTTTTTCAGGCTGTGACTCCAAAGCTTAGAGCTGGATTCACCCCCACAAGCCTCCCTCCTCAGTCCCATCTGCTTTCAACTCGGCCACAGGTCAGGGGACAGACACCGACCCTTTCCCCTGCCTTTTCTTCTTCCTAATGAGACTTCCCCTTTTCAGACTTGGCCAAGAACCTTCTCCTGGTGTCAAGTCCACCGTCTGCTCCACTTACCTACCTGGCGTTCACAAATAGTGCTCTTGAACCCTGCAGAGGGCTTGGGATCGGTGGCCTGAGACAGAGACCAGAAACTCTGGGCTACCTTCCCGCAGCACAGGAGCCCGTGTGCCCATGCTGGGAGTTTGGGTCCTGAACGGTTTCTCTGTAGAAGATGGGCCTGAGCAGTGCAGCAAGGACTTGGCCGCATATCGGCATGACGGGAACCGAACCAAAACACATTTGCTATGTGGTCTGAGCTCACAAGGGAAACAATGCATTGCTTGCCTTGCTTTTATTCTGGCCCCTGGTGAGAAAATGTATGTATGGGCTTTATTGGGCAACTCTGCTTCTCTTCTTCTCTTGGTGTGTCCTGGTGCTCCCCTAAAATTCCTCCTCTCAGCTTCTCTCTACTGTCATAAGAACCAGGAGCTTTGAGGAAAGCAGCAGTCCAGAGGCTCCCAATGAAAGAAGCTGTGTTTGGTGACACTGGTCCCACCAGGCTGCATTCTCTGGGTAGGACACAATTAGGCGGGGAAGACTGAAATGTTGTTTCTGCGCTAGGATTTGGGATAAAAAAAGCCTCACATCTCAACCCTCCTGAGCAGGGCTCTTGTACTTCCCCTTTATACACATCCTCTGCAGCAGAAAGAAGAGTGTCTTGGCTGTCCATGGAATATTCCTCCCTTCTCTTCTCCACTGGAGCTAAAGAGGACCATGAAACGGACAGCTCCAAGAGGAGGGGCCTGTTGTCACCTGGCCACCTGAAGACTCTCAGGTCACCTAGGGAATCTCTGGATTCAAATCCACCAAGCACTGACGACCCCACGGTCCCTTCCTCCCGCTGCCTCCCCTTCACACAAAGGAGACCCACTCCAGCCACCAGGCCAGCCCATCTGGCTATGGGAACCAAAAGAACAAAAATGCTTCTTACTGGATTGCAGGCCTTAATCTAGCTCTTGCTGAATTATTCAGGGATGGCATTAACTTATAAATGAGTGTGTTTGACTGATTTTGTGGTTGATGTACAGATAAATTCTAATGAAAGACAGCTACAAGATTTTAAATTATTAATTAGACTGCCACTTAACAAAGCCTATTTGGCACTCTATTTCCTTGCTTAACAAGACAAAAACTTTAAGGATAGGTTCAGTATTAGCCCAGAGGCTGTTGATTTGCATTCTGTGTTTATAGCTCTAAAAATGAAAACCATAGATCCTGACCTTAAGCAGGCCACTTCTGGCGAAGCAAAATCCCCAACAGGCTGCCCTTTCTTCTTGGATGGTGCTGGGGGGCTCCAGGCCTGGCTTGCCCTGCCTGCCTCTCATCTCTGACCAGAGGCTTGCTTTTTAGATCCCTAGTTCTGCCAGGGTAGGCCAGGAGACAGAAAAGAGGGCAGACGGCTGCTGAAGCCTTCAGCTCCCAGCACCGTCAGCAGCAGGATCCACTGAGGGCTCAGGCTGTTCTGGTTCACAGAGGTGCGGCTGTGGCCGGTAGAGTCCTTTCATTAAGAGACACAAGGCAGCACCCCTCCCCTCCAATTCCTAAACGTCCTGCCAGGGGACAGCACCCAGCTTGCTGTAATAGGACAACAAGAAATCAGAGCGATGACCCTCATGATCACAGCCTATACTCACCTTGCCCAGACCACTGAGCGGGATCCCACTCCACAAAGCACTCCATTGTCAAGACCATGAGCCCAGCCCTTTGCAGAAAAAGTTAGAGGGTTTTTTTCTCTTCCCCCTTACCCCCAGGATCTCAGGATGGCTAGTCTTTTTCCAAATCCAAATTGAGACTATGAAACTCCCTCAGGTCCAGGAGTCCACGCAGGGCTCTGCAGCTGATGGGCAGGGAAACTGCAATGACCATCTGAACCCATCCCTATAACATTTTTTTGCTCGGAGCTTTTGGGAACAATTTGGGAAACAGAAACTTCAATGGCCACCTCCCTTGGCATGAGCCTTGGACATACCTTTGGCTTTGAGCACACACCTAGAATCCACACAGAGTATTTGAGTGTCCTGTATATGCGTGTAAAAGAAACAAGTCCTACAGATCAGGACCAGGAGCTGAGAGAGAAGACTGTCCAGCAAAGGAGCAAAAATAAAGTTCTTTGTCCACACAACGTCCCAGCAGCAGGCTGTAGGCCACTGGAGCTCAGCCTAGCCCAGCAAAGGGCTTTTCTGCTCTGTTTTCCTTTGGCCAATCCAAGTGGTGAACCCCCATGACTGCCAAGCCTCCAGGAGCCACCTCTTAAACAGAGTAAGTGAGTCTCCTCCACCAGGAGAGGCCCCCAGAATGCACTGGGTTCATCCCGGGTTGAGTCTCTGGCTAGTGAGGATGGGAGAGAAAGGCTCCTGGAGTCTCCCTGGGCACTTAAGTCATGTAAATAAAGTACCTGGGCTGTTCTCTGGCTCATTTTTAACTATAAACTGCCAAAAGACAAGAGACCCAAAGGGAAATGGGATGTCAATTCCCTTCTATTATCTCCATCCCAGACCCAGCTACCCAGCCATGGCAGCCTCTTAAAACTGCCTAGGAATCCTTAGGCACCAGGGCAAGTGTGCACACTCCAGGCCCAAGCTTCTCAGACCCGGGCCTCAGCTCAGTTTTGTAAAGATCAGCCTCTGTGTGCAGGCACTGACCACCACGGCTAGCTGCTGAAAGGCCTTTAAGTCCCATTCTGCAGGGAAAAAGAACCAGGGTTTATCAGTGAAGAGGTTTCTCCAACCAGCCAGAGAGACTTTTCCCCACACCACAGGAAAAGGTAGGCAGCGTCCCCCCCTCCGCCCCCCCTCCCCGCCTCCCCGCCCCGCCCCGACCCACGTGGAAGACACAAGTCAGCACAAGTTTGTGGCTATTGACACGACAGGGCAACCGAGGCTCCCAGGTAGGCCTGAGCCAGCAGGGACCACCACACAGCCTTTACTGCTTCCAGAGAAGGCGTGGTTTTTTCCCCCACCTGTCCCACCTGCTTGTGGGGTCTCTTCCCTGACCCCCACATCTTCTCCTCTCCACCCATCTTGAGGCTTCACTTCCCATTCTTTCGCCACCTCCCCCTGCCCGTTTTCTCCTTCCCCATCCTACTGTGAGGTCAGAATCCTGTGCTTACGACACCTCGGTCTGTTGCCATGGAAACAGGGGCGGATTAAGGCAGGAGCGCGGAGCGCAGGGATCAGGGCCCTTAGCTACCTGAGCTCCCGCCTTAGCCGGCTCCCGCAGGACCCGGGCAGCCAGACGCAGCCGCCGCAGCTTGCCGGCCACTCGGCCCGGCCCAGAAACGATAGGGTCCCGACGGAGCGCCGCAGCTCGCCCAGACCAGGAAGGGGAGGGAGGCAGACGCAGAGGCCGGGGCAGCTGGAGACCGGGTTTGCGGGCTCCCGGCGTGGTCACCTGCCCTCCCTGGGCCCCGGGGACAGCTCCCCGCGCGGCAGCCACGTGGGGGCGCGGCGGGACTTCCCCAGCACCCGCGCCAACTTTGCAGCGCTCTGCAATGAGCCGGGCTGCGGGGGAAAGGGGGGCAGGGGGAGGATGGTTGTGGTTAGGTGGTCGCGGGGCCAGCTCTCCTCAAGTTGAGCCTGGCACCTGCCGCGCACGGAGCGGGTACGGCCCCCGCCTTCCCATCTCGCTGCTCCAGGCATAAGGAAAGTTTGAAGAACAGGACGGCAGGCTCTAGCCACCTCCCCTGGGCTGCTGGGTGCCCAGAGCCCGTCCCTGAGGACCAAAGCAGGACTGCAGGGAAGGTGCCCATGTCCCGGCCCCGCCTGAGAAGCGAGGGCGCGCAGTGAGCGCCCGGGCGGCGCGGTGACTGACCGCTGGCCGCCCTGGAGCGCGGGCCGCACCCGGCCCCGCCAAAGCGGCAGAACTGGCAGCATGTGCCCACGCAGCCGAAGGAGTCTGCGACTGCAAAACTTTATAATGGCAAAGCAAAGGTCCCAGAAGGCCGGCTTCCCTTCCATCATGGATAGCTCACAGTGGTCTCTAAATGACCTCGCCGAGCCAGATCCCTAGGCCTGGACGCTTGATCCATGGCGCAAATCCCGTGTCTCGCAACCGGCCACCGACAGGGGCTGAGCTCCAGCAGCAAACCCTCCGCAGGTGCGTCCCCGCAAAGCCCGCCAGCCCGCCAGCCCGCCAGCCGCTGCTTCCCGGGCCAGGAGCTCGGGCGCCGGAGAGCGCTCGGGTCCCTCCCGGGCTCTAGGCTCGGCCGCGTGTGCACTAAACTCCAACTTGCCCCTTCGGCTCCAACTCACCTTTTCGAAGCATGTTGGCCGCGGGGCCGCCACTCGGAGGTCGGCCTAGGCGCGCTCCCTGCCGGAGTCCGGATTCAAATCCTTGGGTGCCGGCTACAGCTAATCCGAGCGCGTCGAGGCGGGGGCAAGCCGGGGATCCGCTTGTGCCCGGCAGCCCGGCCCCTCAGGGGCATGGTGAGCCCGAGCCCAGCGCCGAGGGTACCGGCGCCCACTAGCAACCGCGGCGCTGCCTGGCAGCCCGGCGCGCTCGTTCAGCCCCGGGACAAGCGGCTTGCTCCGCGGAGCCGGCGGCCTGCTTCTGCAGCCCCGAGCTCTTTGCAGGCGGTTTTGAGGGGGGACGCCGCCCCCCGGCCGCCCGGCCGCCGGGCCGCTGCCCCCTCCTCTCCGCCCCCTCGGGCCGCCGCCGCCGCCGCGGCTGCTGCAAAAGGGCGCTCGCACGCACCGCCGAGCTCCGGGGAAAGCGCCCGGCGCGCGTTTGCAGGACCCAGCGATCGGCGGAGCGGGGCGCCTCCCTTCCTCCCCCCACCCCCCGGCTTCCCCCACCTTTTCTCCTCCCTCCCTCCCTCCCTCGCTCGCTAGCTCCCTCCCTCTCGCTCCGCTCCCCGCCCCCGCTCACGGAGCGCCTCCCATACAAAATTTATGAAAGTGCTCTCAGCTCGCGGTGCCGAGCGCCGTCCTATTCCCAGGGCAGCGGCGCTCAGCCGCGCGGCGCCGCCTCCCAAGGTGTTTTCGCTGTGCCGGTCCCTAGGGACTATCCTTGGCCCGCGTCGGTCCAAGTACCTGCCCCAGGCCCTGGGAGGCCGTCGGGCTACTCGAAAGCCCCTTCTCGGCCCCGCGGGCTTCCCGGAGCTCGCGCCCGCAGCCCAACCCCCGTCTGCTCGCCCTTCGCGGCTGGAGGTCACTGAGAGAGGCGGCTGGAAGCGTGCTCTCTGCCCACCGGCTGGGACGGGAGGACTGCCACCCAGAGACCCCGATCACAAGTCTGCACCCCTGCCCATATCCTCTCTAGGCGACTCCGCTTCCTTCTTGGAGGCTCGACGGCTCCTCCCCGCCCAGGACAGCTCCGGGAAACCCAGCCGCCTCGCATCCCGTGTCCCAGGATACTATTCTTTTGGGGGGTAGGTGTGGCGCGCCCCCAGACTCTTCTAGTCCACGCAGCAAGCATTCAGGGAGGCCCAGTTCCAAATTCTAGAGTGAGGAAGGGACCAGTGTGGGGCTCAGGTGGGCTATCCCCGCCTAGGGGGGTGTCCCAGATCTCCTTCAGTCTATACCGACCCCGCCCAGAGCTTCCAGGAAAATGGAGGAGGCACCGCCTAGAAAGCAGGTCCCGCAGGGGGCCAGTTGGGCTGAGCAGAAAAGGTTCAGGCCAGGCGAGATCCTGGGTGGAGGCGGCACCCCCTACTGGCCTGGAATAAGAGGGGTCCTGGGAAAGGAAGAAGAGGGGGCTAAGTCACTCATTCAACGTGCATTTACTGAGGGTCAATTCGTGGGGCATTACTATTCCTAGGGATTCAGCCAGTGAAAAAGACAAGGTCCCTGCATTCAATGGCACCAAGGCTCTGGGTTTCCGCTAACTACATAGGCATGTAACTACAAGAGCTTAGGGCATAGCTGGGGAAGAAAGACCCACAAGGCATCTTAGAATGTGACAGGAGGAGAAAGAAAGTGTTGGGGGCTCTGCTAGCTCTGTGAGGGGGGGGTGAAGGTGAAGGATGATCAAGGAAGCCATCAAAGGGATGCCATTTAGGTTGGGGCTTGAGGGCTGAGTTATCAGGAGATAAGGTGCAAATGCTTGAAGGTGGAAAAAGTAACCTTGTTCTGACGATTAAGAAGATTGGTCCATCTTGGGATGGAACTGGAGGTGGGGTATTCTCTCTCTTAGCCTTGACCAGCTGCAGGGCTGGATTTGGCCCCACACCCTGCCAGGCATTAAAGCTGGTCTCAAGGCCCTGGGCTCTCCGGGAGCGAACTGAGGCCCAGTGAGGTTGAACAACTTGCTCCATGTCATAAAGCAGATCAGTGCCAAAGTGTAGGCCTTAATCGGGGTCTGCTAATCCTCCTTCCAGCCCCCTTAGCTGCCTCCCCATGACCCCCCTGCCCCACAAACTCCAGCATCTCAGACGAAGTTGGCTGAGGCTGAGCGTGAGTGTGAGAAGCACAGTTATTTCGGGCCTCAGGAAGGCTGGGCGCTGCTTTGGAGTCCAGCCAGGGGGTGGGGGTGACTAGAGGCGGGTGTTGTGGTATAATGTGGGGGTGCGCTGTGCCCGCCTTCTTGTCAGGCAGTAATTACTCAGCCTGATGAGTAACTCAGGCAGGGAGACCCCCCACCAACAGATGGAGGTGTTCTCGGCCCAAGCTGAAGGACAGCCCCCAATGTCCTTCACTGCAGTTATCTTAGGGGACGTGCTCACATCTGTCCTTGATGTCTAGTTTCCCTAGACATCACCTGGTTTCCTAATGGGTGCTAGGGCAGCTCATTCAGCACAAGAGGCTGTGAGGCGATGTTGTAAGAGGGTGAGGGCCTTCAACCATCCACAGGCCCCATTCTGCCCAGAGAAAGGCTCCAAGGGATGCGGGACCTGCTAGGGAGATGCCACTGCTGCTCTGGAGTCAATCTCCCCCCCACCACCACCCCCGTGGATCTCACAGCTACAGCCAGAGTTAAAGCTGTCCACGGGCTGGGCCTTAGTGTCCTGAAGGGGGAGGGGCTGGACTCAGGGGATCCCTGGAATTGAGATTTTGCACCTTGGGAGTCCAAAGAACCCAGGGGAGATGGGAAGTCCATGCCGAGCTCTTATCAAGGCAAGAGGGGGTATTCCTGGGACCCATATTGGCTACAGCCCTGTCCAAAGCTATGACTGTCCTAAGAGTATCAGTTAGTGGCCTGGGGGCAGAGCACTGACCCCTTCTGGTCCTCCCCTTGGCTGCTCACTCTCAGCCAGCCCATACATCCTTTCTCTCTGGGCAGCTGCCCAGGCAGGCCAGTCCCTGGCTGCTTGTTTGTCACTTCTCCCTGTACCTTAATTAGGAGTTTCCAAGCAAGGAGGGCCTCCAGGGGAGCCCCAGGCCACAGAGCTACCTTTAAAGGGCCAGCTGTGCTCACATCACCACCTCTGAGAGAGGAAGGTGGTGCCAGAGGGCTGGATGGGCAAACAGCCCTGGGGGACTATTGCTGTATGGGGCAGACCTTGCTAAGGGCCAGTCCTGCAGGTACTCTGATCTTCCAAAGGTCAAGGCCATCTCACTGGCTGCTTACGCCTTCCCTCTGGGATCTCAGGAGCCCAGGCCTGATCAAGAGAAAGGCTATCTAGACCTGAGAGGCAGCCGAGGCAGGGAAAAGGGTAGATTGGTTTAGGCAACTGGATTCCTTGGACTGTTCCCCCTACCCCCACGCCACGCCCTGCCCCAGGAAAGCACCCTCAGGCTGGGGCCTTCCCTTGGTAGCAGTTTTTCACACGGGAAACCTTCCAGCATTCTGCACTGTTGGTCCTAAAGGTAAGGGCACTCTGGCGCTCCGAAAACCCCAGGACTCAGCTTGGAGCTGGGCTGATGGGAGCTGAGTTCTGTCTTGTTTGGGCAGTGGGGTCCTCTGAGGTACGGAATTTGGCTCTACCTACACGGCCTCCACTGCTTACCAGGAGGGGAGACTGAGAGAGGAGCAAAAGGGATACGGGGCGGTGGCGGGGGTGGTGTCCCATTCACAAGACTTGGCTCACAGAATTCGGGCAGGGAGTCGGCAAATAGGGAGCACTGGTCCGGGAGTGCCAGGTCTGGAAAACCGGGAGCAGAGGAGAAGACTGGATCGTCGAGAGAGTGCAACTGCGATTGGTACTGGACTGCTAAGGGCGGCGGAGAGCCCGGTCCCTGTGGGCTGGGGGGTTGGGGTGGGGACCGCGGTAGCCCCGCCCCTACCTTCTCCTTCCTGGTCCCCGCCCAGCAAGTTCCCGCCCATAGCCCGCGACCGGCGGTCGATCGCAAGGTCTGAGTTCTCGGCGTTCTTCTAGCGCTGCCTTTTTGGTCTCCACGTGGACAGGCCAGTGATGGCGGCGCTGGCGGAGTCCGTGGCGGCGGAGCCGGGCAGCCGAAACGGCACTGGTAGAGGTGGGTGCTACTATGCTGCGGCCTCCAGACCTCGCATCGCGAGTCAGGGCTCCCAAGTTAGGGACAGCACCTTCCCCCGCTAACGGCGGCGGCCTTTCAACGCCAGACCCGGAGGGCCCCGCGGTCACTTGCTCCGGCGGCTTTCGCTGGAGCCCAGAGGGACCAGTCTTCCTTTTGCAGCCTTCGGGCGCGATCCGGAGCAGCTCTTCCTAGGAGCTTGTAATCCTCAAGCCGGAAACGCTGCCCCCGCCCTTGCCTTGGCTGGCACGGGAGGACTCACGGATAAAGCGGACCCGATGAGGAAGGAAAGAGCCAGGCGCGCTGCAGCGGCCATTCCACAAGTGGGCCCGCGGGGAATGCCTCCAGGAAAGAGGCACAGGGTTTCATTCACCCGGCTCACTGACTGCCAGGCCTCTGCTGGGTTCAGGGACTACACAACAGCCTTGCCCCAGGGATCTCGTCTACCCGGGAATACTGATGTAAACAAAAGATCACAGACACGTGATAAAGGAGGAGGCGCCTACTAGTCCCGAGGACAAATTGAGCTACTAAAACTAGCAGCTCCCACATCCCAACGACCACAGGGGACTTGCCCTGTCAGAGGAGCTTCTGTGAGGGGCTCAGGGTTCTGGGCTGTTTGTTCCAAGGTCTTTGAAACAAATGAACAAAAACTATGGCCGTAGTAACATTCAAATATGGTCTCATCATCAACTACCATCATCTGCCCACAGGCAGAGAGCGAAGGGTTATGTCTGGGAGGATCCCTCCCATAGTAGTAAAGGGCCCTAGCAGAAGTTCTGGCACAAAGGGCAGGATCAATAAATATTTGTTCAATAAATTAATTTCTTGTTTCCTTATCACATTCCCAAACTCTCTGGTTCCTGAAGAGATAATAGGGTTGAGCTAAGCTGAATTGGGAATAGGAAGCAAATTAAGGGTTGCAGCTTTGCTAATGGCTACAGTGTTTTCTCCTTTAATCAGGTTGTAATTTGTATACCTGCATTTGCCCGTGCTAGACTACTAGCCCCTAAAGGGTGGGGTCGCTTCTCTATCCTTACCTGTTTGCCTGCAGTCCTAACTAGAGTGTGTTCTTTTATTTTTCCTGGGGTGGAACAGTGAGACTAAGGAAGCTGTTAAGTCAGTTAAATGTTTGGTTGTTGTTGTTGTTGTTGTTTTAATTTATTTATTTGACGCAGAGAGAAATCACAAGTAGGCAGAGAGGCAGGCAGAGAGAGAGAGGGAAGCAGGCTCCCTGCTGAGCAGAGAGCCCGATGCGGGGCTCCATCCCAGGACCCTGAGACCATGACCTGAGCCGAAGGCAGAGGCCTCAACCCACTGAGCCACCCAGGCACCCCAAATGTTTGGTTTTTATTTCCCTTTTAAACAAGGAGAGGGAAGAGTGTAGGGATTCACCACTGTAGACAGAGTCAGTGGGACTTGAGTAAAGAGGGCAGTCTTTTAAGTCAGTACTTAATAAGTTTGCTTATAGACTGCATATCTAGGACCTCAGAACTTCAAAGTGTTCTCAGGGACTTGGGTGAGGGGTTGGGTGCAGGGGAGGACATTTTCCCAGACTTCTAGGCTCTTGGGTTTTCCTCAGAGTTGTTCTTTACCAAGGAGCCGTTGTTTGGACTCATTTCAGTCTCCTGGTGTTATCTCTGTTCTCCCAAAGGTAAGGGATGGGGTATACCTCCCTCATGGGCTCAAATCTTTGATTCCCAGTAATCTCTCAACATGGAAGCTAATTATGCAGATCTCTTTCAGGCTTAATGGGTTGTCTTTCCAGCTTCAGAATGAACTCAGTGAGGAAGAAAGCTGGGCCAACCCCCTTGGCATCTGGGATCTGGGCCTGAAACTTGGGTGGTGTTAAGGACTTAACTGGGTCTGGTTCTCTTTTAGGCCAGGTGCCAACTCAGTCCTTTCATTTGTCCTAGGTCGAGCCCCTAGGGGCCGCTTGGCCAATCAGATCCCCCCTGAGATCCTGAACAACCCCCAGCTGCAGGCAGCCATTCAGGTCCTGCCTTCCAACTATAACTTTGAGATTCCCAAGACCATCTGGAGGATTCAGCAGACCCAGGCCAAAAAGGGTGAGCCCCCAAGTTTTGAGATGGGGTAGGGGTGGAGAGGTTGCCTGGCTCTGTCAGGGACAGTATCCCCATCCCAGCATTTTCCTAGACCTCTGCCCTCATGTCTTTGCTCTGTCTTTCAGTGGCCTTGCAAATGCCTGAGGGCCTTCTCCTCTTTGCCTGCACCATTGTGGATATCTTGGAAAGGTGAGGCTTGGGGTACTGGAGAAGAAGCTAAGCCAAGACCTTCCCCATGCCCATTATATCTCTTCCTGTTGACATTTTTCCTTCTGGACCTTGGCCTTACCCTGCCCCCTCCCACAACCGTACATGCACAAAGGGAAAAAGTCAAAACTAAACTCCCAGCCTGCTGAGATCCCAGCCTGTCTGGCTTGGCTTGTCTGTATAAATCTCTTTTTCCCTAAAATATTAAAGTGGGGGAGGGGGTGCAGCAGGGGAGTGGGGAGATGAGTTGTTTCCAGTATCTTCAAAGCTGGGCCTAGAGCAGGTGGTGGGGCCTGAGGAGGAATCCTCAGAGCTGACCTGGAATGAGCTGTGTTGTCAGCATCAGGTCTAGCCAAGGGGAACCTTTTTCTCCAACACATTTGGGGGAGTAGGGCAAGGAGGGGCTTGGTGGGGGAGAAGTGTCTAGGAGATAGTATTCAGTTCCTCTCCCCTCTCTAAGTTTCTTCATTACAATGAGCCATCCTGGGGCTGGGGGTGGGGAGTTCTCAGCCATCTGGAACCAGCACAGGAACAGGGAGGGGGAATGGGGAAAGGGGAGGTCATCTCGTGATGGGAACCTCCCACTTCCCTGCTGCCTCCCTCCCCCACTCTGCTTCTCATCCACTGCCACAGACTCACTTCCCAGCTCCCACCCTCTTGCCCCTTGGGGATGCTCTCTGGGGCTCAGGCCAATTTGCATACATTTTAATCTATAAAAAATTAAGTGCTCTGGCTGACTCAGATGCCTGGGCTGCATTTTAAGGAGTTGAATAATCTGCTTCTGTGCACAGACTGATTTGGGGAAGGGGGGAGGAGGAGGGGCTGCTGACTGACAGCAGCTCAGCTTTCCCCAGCACACCTCCAGGAGAAAGATGGGAGATCCTAGTTGCCAAGCCAGGCCCTGTGGCCCAGGGGTGCATCTCTCAAGGAAGAGCTGGTCCTCTAGCACCATGCCCCTGGTGAATTTGGGGAGTGCGGGGTCTTCCCCACCCGCCCCTGTCCCCCAGTGATTCAGGCCTGGCAGCAGATCCTATGGCAATGTGTTGGCCAGAGCCCACTCTTTCTGATGCATGAGGTGTGTGGGTGGTGCCATGTGCTATGGGGGAGCCGTTCGTGGGTACCCCCCACCCTGGGTGCAGAGGGCCCTAACTAAGGGTGGGGAGGTAGCAGGGGTTCTGGGTGACAGGGAGGCTGTGTGTATCCCTACATGCGTACCCACGCACGCTGCGTGTCAAAGCATGGGAGCGGGCGCCTCTGCATGTGTGTGCACACTCCTTGCTCTGGGTGGGACAAGCCGGGGCATCAGAGCCCCCATATCTGACCCTGTGTCTGCCCAGCTGAGGGGTGGGGGTCCTTCTTGAAGTCTGGGCTTGGATGGAGGAACCCGGGTGCTACAGAAACCGTCCTCATACCGCTCCAGTTCCAAGAGCTGCTGCCAGGACCGGGGGATGTGACAGCTGGGCCCTTCCTACTCTTTGTTGGCAGAAGTGGCAGCTGCCAGCCCCAGTGATTGTGGGGCGTAGGGAGAGGAGCTGGGCCCTGAGATATCCCCACAGGGGTAGGTCTCTCTCCCACCTCACCCTGGTGTCACCATCTCATTGTCCCCCTCCCCGTTCCCTCACCTCCACAGGTTCACAGAGGCCGAAGTGATGGTGATGGGCGATGTGACATATGGGGCTTGCTGTGTGGATGACTTTACCGCCAGGGCCCTGGGAGCTGACTTCCTGGTGCACTATGGCCACAGCTGCCTGGGTATGGTGGGCGGGGATCCTGGCAGGGAGGCAGGGAGGCAGGACTGCATGCTGATCCCCCATCATGGCGCCTTCTTGTCCTGCTTGCAGGCAGGAGGTCCCTCCCAGTTTCTGGGATGGCTTTGGCCTTCCTGCTCTGCAGGTGGATCTTTCCTTTGGGTTTGGTTTCCTTGGAAACAACGTTGCTGTCCCCGATGTGGGTGTTTGAAAGGCTGTTGGTGGTAGAGCAGTCTGGGCCCCCGGTCGAGGGGTGCAAAAGGAGCTTCTAAGGGAACCTATCACTGTGCCCCCCCCCCCCCCGCCTCCTGCTCACTCCTTGTATCCCTAGGCTGAAGCCACTGGTCCTGGCTGCTCAGAGACCTTGGCCCAGGCAGGCCCCCTGCACCTCTGGCCTTCCAAAACAGTCTCCTGAATTCTTGTCTCTTCCCAGTTCCCATGGACACCTCGGCCCGAGACTTCGGGGTACTGTATGTCTTTGTGGACATCCGGATAGATACTACCCACCTCCTGGATTCTATCCGCCTCACCTTTCCCCCAGCCACTTCCCTTGCCCTGGTCAGCACCATTCAGTTTGTGTCGACCTTGCAGGTAAGTGAACAGATAGATAGGCAGCCAGCCTCCGGACTCTTCCTGGGGCCCATGTTAGGTGCTCCCGCTTGTCCTCTGGCCCTGGCTCTCCCTCTTCACCCACTTGCTTCCCTTCCCTCCTCATCCCTCCAGGCAGCTGCCCAGGAGCTGAGAGCTGAGTACCGTGTGAGTGTCCCACAGTGCAAGCCCCTGTCCCCTGGGGAGATCCTGGGCTGCACGGCTCCACAGCTGCCCAGAGAGGTGGAGGCTGTTGTGTAAGTGAAAGATGAGGGGCCAGTTGGAGAGACATAAGAAATGCACCTAGAAGGGATCGGGAGGTCATTGTGTAGGAAAGGAAGCTGAGTCTCAAGCTCTTTTTTAACTGTTTGCTCAAGGTCACCCTACAAAAGGGGGACCGAATAGGGTTGCAGGTGGCCTGTCTCCCTCTCAGGTGCTCTGTCCACCTGAGAGCTATGCCCAAGCTGGGGCAGGAATCAGAGGGCCTCATGGGGTGGGGAGTGGGGGGTGAGGGTGGGCTAGAAATGGTGGGAATATAATTGGAGAAGATGGATGGGCACGCCCAGGCTGCAGCCCCGTTAATTTAGCATCCGGACAGCTAACAAGCAGGAGCAGCATGTCTCCTGCCGCCTAATTATTTTAGGTAATGGAAATGCTTAATGTTGTGTGAATGCAGCCAGCCTCAGAGCTGATAGCTCCCCTGGCTGGGACTAGGGAGGGGAGCCCCATTCCTAGCTAATGGCAGGGAGAGCGGGAGGGGCACTCCCCTGACTCAGCCCCACCTTTGGGGCTGTAGATGCTAGTCCCACAGGGCCTGCTGCTCCCATGTAGGACAGCCCTGCTCCCGAAGGGGCACTGCCCCTCTGCCTGTGCCCACATGATTCTGAGCCTGTAGGTGCCTACCACTGGGGGCTTCAAGGTGTGTGTTGGAGGGAGAGACACCCTGAATGTGGGGCATTCATCACAAAGATCAGTGTGGTCTCCAAGAAGGAACTGCATTCGTGATTGTCCTCTATGCTCTGCCTTCTCCGTGGACTGGGAAGCTCCTTTTAGGGACAGTCTTGATAGAGTCTGTTGGTTAAGCCTAGAGAAAAGTCCTAGATCTACTGCTTAATAGCTGTGTGACTTTGGGCAAATTCCTTAACATCCCTGAACAGCAGCTGTATCTGTTGTAAAATGGGGATACTCTAGGTACCTCAGAGGACTGTTTGAGGGTCTGAGTGTGAAGTCCTACATGGCAAGTTCTTATTCCAGGCCTTGGTGCACAGAAGCCACAAATCCAGTAAACAGTAGTTGTTACAACTCAGTAAGAGGACCTGAGAGCCAGTTTGGGGAGAGAGAGCCGTTGTAGACCCTGAAACTTCATTTACAACATTGATGACACGTTGAACCCTATTTGCCGTGTTTGTTTTGAGCTAGGTAAGGAACTGTCCCGCCATCTCCAAGGTAGGATCTCTAGAGCCCTGGGCAGCCATGGCCATGGCTGCCCTTTTACCCTTCCCCCAGAAGTCTGGGGTGAGGAGCAGTTCTCAGATTCTGCATTACATAACTAGAAGGGCCTTATTCTCATCCAGTTCAAACTCTTTATTTTGCACATGAGAAAACCAAGGCCTCAGGAGGCGGAATGTTGACTTGTGCCAGTCCCCTCTCTCCCCACAGCAGCAGCACATTTAGCCAGGAGCTCAGTCTGGACCTCCAAGCCAGTGCCCACCTTTTCTGCTGCCTCACCGTACCCCACATTTATCATCCCCTGTCTCTCTGCCGCAGATATCTTGGAGACGGCCGTTTCCATCTGGAGTCTGTCATGATTGCCAACCCTGGTGTCCCCGCTTACCGGTATGGGCTGAGCTGGGCTGACCAGCTAGGGAGAGGGTGGGATTTCCCTGCCACTGAAGCCCTCAACTGGCCGAAAATTCCTCATTCCCTGGCCCCTTGACAGCCAACGGCTCTAAGTATCTGAGGTACTTGGGTCCTGAATCCAGGCGTCAGACCCAGAGCTGCTGCTGCACAGTACCCACCCATCCCCCACTGGGATTCATACTGAGATTCTAAACCCCCTCCTACTTTTGCCTGCTCCAGCTGTGGGACTGAGCTTTCCAATGACGATCTCTGCTCTCTTCCTCATTACCTGCATGGAACCTAAAGATTCAGGAGACCAAGGGACTGAGTCAGGGAGCTATGGGTACAACAGGTACCATGAGTGGCTGTCACCGTAACCCTCATAGCTTCTTTTCCAGATATGACCCATACAGCAAAGTCCTATCCAGAGAACACTATGACCACCAGCGCATGCAAGCCAACCGCCAAGAAGCCATAGCCACAGCCCGCTCAGCTAAATCCTGGGGCCTTATCCTGGGCACTTTGGGCCGCCAGGGCAGCCCCAAAATTCTGGAGGTCAGAGGGCTTGGGATGGCCTCTGGAGGAGGGGACTGACTAGAAACCCAGCTGAGAAAATTAGTAGACTTAAGGGATTTTGACTTGGTTGCTTGACCATGGTGACCTGAGCTTGGCCTCCATCTTCCAGCAGCACCTGGAATCTCGGCTCCAAGCCTTAGGACTTCCCTTCCTGAGGCTGTTGCTCTCTGAGATCTTCCCCAGCAAGCTTAACCTACTTCCTGAAGTGGATGTGTAAGTTTCCTCACCTTACCTCTCTAGCGATGACTCTGGCTAAGGAAGCTTCCTTAGATCAGTGTCCTGCCCAGCACATATTGAAGGCTGGAATCAGTGGGGATTGCTTCCATGAATGTTCATGTTTACAGAGCTCTCATTCAGCAGGGGCTGCTCTTGGCTAGGGGTCTCGCCCATTTCAGTTTGGGAGCTCACAGGCAACTGTAACATCACAGTCATTCTTTTGAGGGGTAGTTGGCACCTGCAGTGTACCAGAATTAAGCTAAATTTGATTCTGGAGATAAGATCACAGATAAGCTGCCTGGGCCCTGCCCTCAGAGAGCTCGCAGAGGGCTCTCTCAGAGGAAACGAGAAAATCAACAGCTATAGTGTTATTCTGAACAGTAGTACGTGACTGTCTTTACTCTAGAATTAATAGTAAGCATTCATTAGGTGTGTTGGGGACAAAGTCATGTTTTTCAGCATGCTGCCCAGGGGAGGACCACCTTCCCCACCCCCACCCTTGGGTCTGACCTGACCTTCCCTTCCCAGGTGGGTGCAGGTAGCATGTCCGCGCCTTTCCATTGATTGGGGCACCGCCTTCCCCAAGCCGCTGCTGACACCCTATGAGGTAAGCCTGCGTTTTGAAAATACCTGAGAGAGAGTGGGCTTTGCACCTGGTTCTGTCCAGGGAGGGATCTGCAGTGGGGTGGGCAGCACCTATTACAGCTGACTCATTTCTTAGTTGTGTGGCCTTGGGCAAGTCCCTTAACCTGTCAGAGCCTCACATTTCCTTTCTGTGGTATGAGGACAATAGGACCTCCATAGACCATCGTGAAGATTGAATCAATTAATCCTGCCCAGAAAAAGTTGGCAATTGTTGTCCGGGTGCCCTCCCTTAGGCAGTGGTGGCCCTGAGGGACATTTCCTGGCAGCAGCCCTACCCTATGGACTTCTACGCCGGCAGCTCCTTGGGGCCATGGACAGTCAACCACGGACGGAACCGCCCCCTCCAGGCCCTGAGCCCACTGGTCTTGGAGAAGGTAGGCCCCGACTTGCAAGCCTGGAGGAGAGAGACTAAAGGCGCGGCCTCGCGTGGCCGCCTCCCTAGCGACGCGAGCCGAGGCCGCCGCCGTGAGGCCGCTACGGGAAATGCACGGGAGTAGGGTGGAGGACGTCGCAGAATGGAGACCCTGAGCAGAGTCTGCCATCCTCCGATGCAGGAGTCCGCGCAGCCCTCTCCCGCCGTGGCTAGCGACGGCTGCAGCTGCTGAGACGATAAGGGAGCAACGAACGCTCGATGAGCCCTTCCTTGGTCTCAGGTATCCGCCCCTGCTTGGGCCGCACCTGGTTGTTCTGGGAACACCCCGCTCGCGCAGAGGCCCGCCTTCGGGGTGGGGCCGGCATTTGGTCCCACCCCTCGTGTATTCGATTTCCGCTCGGGGAAAGGCTGCTTCCGGTCCCTGGCGCGTTGCTCGGCAAGATGGCGGCGCGGCCCACGCTGAGGGTGTTAGCCCTGGCCGGCTTCCGGCAGAGCGAGCGGGGCTTCCGCGAGAAGACGGGAGCGCTGAGGAAGGCGCTCCGGGGCCGCGCTGAACTCGTGTGCCTCAGCGGCCCGCACCTGGTCGCGGATGCTGCGGGCCCCGAGGGCGCCGGGCCGGACTCCGGTGAGACGGGGAAATGCACTCTGAGTCTTTTATCTGGCCTCGTTTCCGTAACGCCTTTTAGCATACCCCCACGCCGCATCCTCACCTCTTCCCTCCCCCTGCCCATACTATTCATTTCTTCCATCCCAGCCTCCCAGGCCTCCACCATGATCAGGCTTCCCTGCCTTGCCATGCCGCTCTGCTCTCCACCTCATTACCCCCAGGTTCTCATCTTCGGCCGCCTCTTCGCTAGTTGGCAGCCCCAGATCCTTCCTCCCTTCCGTTTTCATTTCTCATGCCTTAGATACCCGCTTGCCCTAACCCCATCCTTTCCCCATATCGCTGTAGAGCCCTGCCTTCCGGAGGAGCAGCCCCGAGGCTGGTGGTTTTCAGAACAGGAGGCAGACGTTTTCAACGCCCTGAGCCAGCCCACAGTATGCAGAGGTCTGGAGGAAGCCTTGGGAACCGTGGCACAGGCACTGAAGAAACTGGGACCTTTTGATGGGCTCCTTGGTTTCAGCCAGGGAGCCGCGCTGGCAGCCGTTGTGTGTGCCCTTGGCCAAGCTGGCGATCCCCGCTTCCCCTTGCCAAGGTTTATCATCCTGGTATCTGGTTTCTGTCCCCGAGGCCTTGGACTCAAGGAATCCATCCTGCAGTGCCCCTTGTTACTGCCTTCACTACACGTTTTTGGGGACAGTGACTGCGTCATCCCCTCTCAGGAAAGTATGCAGCTGGCTAGCCAATTCACCGGAGCCGTCACCCTCACCCACTCTGGTGGCCACTTCATTCCAGCAGCTGCGGCCCAGCGTCAGGCCTACCTCAAGTTCTTGGACCAGTTTGCAGCGTGAAAGATGAACAAATGGCTCTGCCCCTACTTCTCCCACCCCCATATGACCTCGGGGCAGTCTCTGTAATCCAGTCCTTCCATCCTCCCCCCGCCCCCTCCCCTGGGAGCTCAGGGGCTGTCAGTGTTCCTCATCATCACCAATTAAGAGACAAGTATCAAGGGCGCCTGGGTGGCTCATTGGGTTAAGCCGCTGCCTTCGGCTCAGGTCATGATCTCAGGGTCCTGGGATCGAGTCCCGCATCGGGCTCTGCTCAGCAGGGAGCCTGCTTCCCTTCCTCTCTCTCTGCCTGCCTCTCTGCCTACTTGTGATCTGTCTGTCAAATAAATAAATAAAATCTTAAAAAAAAAAAAAGACAAGTATCAATTCTGAGACTCAGCTTATTATAAGCCCTGCTCTACACTCAAGAAAAAAGGGATCAGAAGGCCTTAGCGGAGCTTGGCATCTGCCACTCAAACATGAAAAAGGCCAGTGGACCCCTGGATAAGTGGAGGGTGACATGGGAACGTGGGGGCTGACGCTACTGTGACTGCTGCGTAATAAAGTGCTGGTGGCAATTTTGAGCCTCTTTTTCCTCCTACGCACAGGAAAGCCATTTTGTGACAGAAGTCCGGATTCCTGGCATCCACACAGCTTCCAGGGCAGCTCCAAAGAGGGAAGGAAGTGTTTCTAGTTACGAACCCCCCAGGATAAGCTCATGTGTACCCACATTTGGTAGAAATCTCAAGTCCCAAGCGGAAGGAGAGGAGGCCTTGGTAGCAGAGTTGGAAGAATTTTACTTTTGAGAAGTTCTAGGAAGAGATCGCCGGGCAAGGTGCTCTCTGGGCTCCACTGAGTTAGGCTTCCTCTGAACCCTGAGGGTTGTGTACTGGCCTTTCTGTCAAACTCTGGCTTCTTGGGTGCTCTGCTTTTCCCTCCAGAACTGCTTTAGCCCCTCTGAACTATAAGCTTGGAGGATGGGTTGGTCCTAGACCTTGGGAAGAGGCCCAAGACCACACAAAAGAAACCCTTTTACAAACCTGCCCTCACCTGCAGAGTTTCTGGGGTTGATGCTGCTTTGTAGCGATCCAGCCAGGGCCTAAGTAGCCCTCCAGTTTTAGAGATCATTCGTTCCCAGACACTCTAAAGACTGCCCACTTTAGCTCCTTGCCCTGCTTCCAGTGCCCCCACCTGTGGCCCATCCTGCTCTCTGATTTCAGCCCTGCCTGTGCAGGATCACGACCTCATTGCTTTTCTGGAATATCCCAGGAGGCCCTGATCTAGCCCTCAAGCATGGTTGTTTCCAGGGAGTTTAGGAATTGAATAGGAATCAGGTTAGGGGATATAGCACAAATACCCCCTCCCATCCTGAGACAGACTAATATCCCTTAAATTACCCCAAAATCCCGAATTCTTCACTAACAACAGTAGTTGTCTAAGAAAAAAAAGCTGGAGTTACACCACCCTCCCCCAACAGACCCAGTTTACTGGAATTTAGGACCTTTACAGCAGAAAGTGGGGATGGGAGGATAGTTCCCCCTTGCTAGTGTCAGCCTCTGCTTGCTCTTGGGTGTTTTAAAGGGATCCCTTTGACAAAAGGAGGGGACTCAGAAATGGGCTGAATTACTACTACAGACCTGTTGAATTTGGCCCGTAGGATTTTAGAAAATACTGGATTTATAGTATTTAATATCTTAGGAATTTCACACACAGAAAGATCCCCGGCTTCTCTGGAAATGAGTTCAGAGTGGAATGCAGTGAGTATGCAGTTCAGAGCTCACGTGCCCCCATGGCCATCATAGCCTGCCCCCTTTAGCGAGGTCCCAAGAGATGAAAACGATGACAGTTGCTACCACAGCCCTTGCTACTTGGAATTACTGTGAGGATGAAAAGAGAACAAGATAGTGGGGCATGAATTTTAAGCCAGGGTTTAAAGTTAGAAGGATGAGGGTAGAGCAGAACAGTATTGGGGCACCTGTGTGGCTCAGTGAGTTAAGCCTCTGCCTTTGGCTCAGGACATGATCCCAGGGTCCTGGGATCGAGCCCCCACTCAGCAGGGAGCCTGCATTCCCCTTTCTCTCTGCCTGCCTCTCTGCCTACTTGTGATCTCCGTCTGTCAAATAAATAAATAAAATCTTAAAAAAAAAAAAAAAGAACAGTATTGGGAGCAGAAGTGCTCAGTGCTCTGGGTGAGAATTCTCTTCCCTCCCCCACCTCCTGCCTTAAGAATCAGAAAATATCCAAGCTAGGAGGAAAGAGATCATGTGGTCCACTGCTTCCCAACAAGTGAGATGTCCTCTCCCATCACATCCTCCAGGAACAACAGAGAATCTTAGGGGCATTGTCCCCCACCCCACACACAGATTCTACGGACCACTTGCATCAGAATCATGTTAAAACTTGACCTACCGAGCCAGTTGCTGGACCGAGGAATCTGCATTTTGGCAAACTCCCTGGATTGGACACTCCCATACAACATGATATTTGAAAACCATTGCCTTAGAGAGTAGAATATAAGTCTCTGGTAAACATGTGCTATTTGAAAAACACACAACACACACCTGGGATTCTCATGCGCTCCACTAAGGATGGGGAGAAAACTCTCCAATTAACCATTCGTGTAACATTTTCAATTTGTATCTAAGGGAAATGAGGTCCAGAGGTTAGAAAGAGGAGTACCTTTGGTGGAGCGCTAACTACGCCCGATTCTGTGAAAAGCAGAAACTTTATAGAGTTGCCCAATTTAATCTCAGAATTTCCTGAAGTAGCCACTCTTAACAATATTACAACTGAGGAAAACAGGCGCAGAGGAGTTAAGTAACCTACCGAAAGTTGGATTCAGATCCAGAACTCACATTCCTAACCATTCTTAGTCATTGCTTTCTCTCCTGCAACCTCAGAAGTGCACAGAGGACACCCAGCACTCACGACTTTTGGGCTAGGTGTCCTGTCTGGGTCTCACCTTCCTAATCCATAAAATAGTTGGGGTTGGGGTGCACTCAATGAGGTTCTAAGATACTAAAAAATTCTCTAAAGTCACTTCTCTGGTTTTCCCCCTCTGACCATTTTCTCCAGATGGGTTCAAACTGCAGACAACTTGGTCCCTTCAGAATATTGCTCCCATTTCTCTTCTCTGCCTCTCACTCCACCTTCGATACCTAAAGCTCTTGAGAGTAGTCCCTGAGCAAAGAAGCCCCCTCCATAGCCCAAGTCCAAGAGCTTCTGCTCGGAAAGTTGGGCCCCCTTCCCCTGTTCATTCTGCCTAAGTGGCCAGAGCTGGGGTCTCCTCAATGCTACCAGCCCCTCACAAAGACATAACAGCCTAGTAGAATACTTAAGATTGAAATAGCATTCTGCAGTTTTCAAAGGTTTTTACTCACGTGATCCTATTTGATCCTTACAAGTCGGCCAGAGAGGAATGATTATTATCCCATGTTACACAAGGCTCAGAAACCCAGCCCCTTAAATGATAACCAGTCGGTGATAAGGCCAGGTTGGACCTCCTGCTTCCAAGTGCACTACTCCCATCTGCACACACTACAGTCTGCTCACAGATGGCCTCTGGATTCCAGAATCAAGAACATTTAATCTAAGACTTTGGGGTCCTTGAGTGGGAGGAAGGAAGCATGTGGGAATTGATTAGCTGTGAAACCAGCACCAATTGCCTTAAAAGTAGTTTAATAAAGGAGGGGTTATGGAGAGGTAACAGAAAATTGGATTAATGAGAGGCAGGACTGGATTGCATTAACCATTTCCAGGACTGTGCCTAGGGAAGTCCTGCGCCCAGTATCCATCAGTCAGCCCCTGCACTGGGTGATGGTGGTGGTGGTAGGTGATATAAGTGTGTTTTTGAAAAGGTCGTTGCTCACACTTCACTGGACCAATAGGACTTCAGCCCCTCTCATATTCACTTTTCCACTTTAGAACGAATTTGAGACACTATCTCAAATTAGAATCCAGCACGATTGAAGTAAGGCTGCTGATACATTCAGACAATGCTTTACTGACCGGGTTAACTTTACAAGCACACTGGCTTCCTGAGGGTTGGGGACCTTTCTTATCACCCTACATGGATCAGAGGATGAAAGAGCGGGGAGAATAGTGAGGGAAGGCTGCATCAGAAAATGGGTTCAAGGATTAGTCACGCTTTCTGCCTGCTCAGCAGAGGGTTTCCCGGAAGAATGCTGTTGTGGCATTTTAGGAAAACTTTGCTCCATCTACTCCCTTCAGTCTGCAGGAGACCTTCAGATCCCAGCCGCCTCCCTCCCACCGAGGAGATAGAAAGAACACAAATCCCAGAACTACCCCTTCTTTCGCCATTCCCTGGCTGCAACCTCGGCCAAGAGGACAGGATGGTCACTGAGGCGGACGGTCAGACATACTGCCCAGACCGTGCTTCCTTCCCTGCCTTGGTAGACACGCAGCAGTCAGACCCGAGAGTAGTCCTCCCCCGAGCACCGCACCGCCCTCCGCCCCCATAGATACATCGGATTTTGACTCGCCGCCCCCGCTTCCTCCTGCTCCTGGTCTCCCCCATCCCGGGCTGGCAGTGCGCGGCGGGCGCAGTGCGTGGGCGTGCTGCGGGGCGACCATGGCTGTAGACTGTTACCTCCGGTTCCCACAGTAACAATCGAAAGCCACGGTTGCCCTGGAGACGCGGGGGCGGGGCGCGCGCTACTGACGGCACCATGGCAGCTCCAGTCAGGCAGACGTCAGGACAGCGAGTTGGGGAGGGGGTAGCGGGGGTAGAGCGCGCGATGGGGACCGGGCTCGGGGGCCGTGCGATGTGCGTGTGAGGGGCCGCCCCTCGCAGTCTCTGGTGACCAGGGACCGGATGGGCGGATGGAAGCGCCTGCGCTGGATCAGCACCGCGGACAGCGGCGGCGCGGAGAGCGCGCGCTGAGGGGGACCCTGGGGAACTGAGGGGCCGGGGGCGCGGCAGGTGGCCGGGTCCGCGGTCCTGGGGCGGGGCCAGGCGTCGGTGGCCGTGACTGGAGACTGTTACTGAGGGAGGCCCGGGCAGTAAGCAGTCTAGAGCCAAGGTGCCGGCGCGCTGCCCGGGCGGGCGGGGGTGCCTCCGTTGCCCGCAGCTGGGGGCGCTGCTGCTCTTCCTCCCCCGCGTCTCCCGCCTTTCTCGGCCCCAGCGCTTGCGGACAGGCACGCGGCCCTTGACGTCAAAGCCCTGTGACGTCAAATATGTCCCCGCGGAGAGGCACTTCCGGCGGCGGGGGGGGGGCGCTCAGTTGGGGGGCGGGGCAGCCCGGCCGAGGCCCCGCCCCCTTCTGGTCCTGAGAGGACAGCTCCCCGCGCAGAGGCGGGAAGTCGGGGGCGCAAAGGGACGAGCCCGACGGGATGGGACGGGGAGGGGGTGCCCGACTGGATGCGGGGTGGGGGTCCCGAAAGAGCCGAGGCTAGGTCGGCGGGCAGGTGGGCGTCTGTCCTTCGCCGGTAGCCCCGCTCAGCCGGCAGGGGCAGCGAGGCTGAGTCACTGCGGTGCGGGGAGGGGGAGGAGGGGGCGCGTCTTCTGGGGCGTCAGCATCTTCGCCCCACTTTCTTGGGAGGATGGCGCAGGAGCCCCAGGAAATGTCGCAGGGGCCCTGGGGTCCGTCCTCTGTTCGATGCTCCTCCGAAGTGGCTGTGTCTTCATCCGGGCGCGGGCAAGTGCTGCACGGGGTTCTGGATACGCCTCCGGCCCGGCTCCACCAGCTGCGAGGGGATCCTCATCCCCCACCCTGTTCCCAATCCCACCCCTTAGGGGCCAGCCAACCTGCCGTCTGCCGGTCTCCTCATTGCCTTTCCGTCCGTGTCCGTGCATCGGTCCATCTGTAGACCGTCGGTCGGTCAGTCCCACTTACCTGTCGGGCCGCGTCGCGCCGGCTCCCGCTCGCCTCCCGCAGTCCGGCTGGCGCCGCTGCTTTTATAGGCGCGCGTAGTACTCGTGCGGCGGCTCATTCATGCGGCCGCGGCTCCTACACACTGACGCGCTGCCGACGTCAGCAGGGAATTTAGGAAACGGGAAGAGGGGCTATTTATAGTGGCGAGGCGGGGGGTTGGGGGGTACTAAGGCGACGGGGAGCTGGGAGGGGGAGGAGGGCTCACGGAAGCAGGAACAGGGAGGGGGAGCCCGGGCCCCTGTACCGGTCTACAAAGGGTTAACTTTCCGGAACTGCGGACTCGGGGCCGGCGGGAGGACAGTGCCGGGAGGGCGGACGGGTCCTACACTTTTAAGCGCCCTGGGACACCTAGGGGATGCAATCCCACTTCCCGCCGGGCCTTCCCAGGTGCTCAACCGGCAGCCCCCTCTCCCACTCCTCAGTTCCTGGACTCGACGGCTCTGTGACGTCACAAGATGACCTTCGGTGGCGTTACACCACTTATGGCCACTGCAGTGTCATCACCCTGAGGTGGGAGGTACAGGAGAGGAAGCTAGACCTGAGGAGGGGCCTAAAGCAGCATCTAGAACTGTGGCGTCGGGGAAAGGGGAGAAGAAGAGTGGGGAAGCCCAGGGCTGGCAAAAGCTTTGTAGGAGTCTGGGCCTGGGAGGAATGGCGCGCGGGGGTGTGTGGGGGGCTGTGCGTGTCCCAGAGGTCTAGGAACCAGTCAGGAGCTGGAGACACCAGAAAAGTTGAGAAGAGTGGCTTGCACTCCCCAGATATGAGCAAGGGGTTCCTCTATGGAGGAGCTGGGCGGGGGGCGGCAGGAGAGGAGAAAACCTCAGCAAATGGCGGGGAGGAGGACAGGTCGGCAGTGCCAGTGTCAGAGCCCGGCACCAAGCAGATCGCGTTCAGTACCCATTTATGGGTGATAATGAGTGAGGGAGACCAAGGGCTCAGCGGCTTGACAGAGAAGGATATCTGGAGGATGGAGTGGCAAGACCACTTCCTGGAGGAGTTAGAGTTCCTGGAGGTATGAATTGACAGGAAGGCCCTAAGCCGTGTGGGACAGAATTCCCCTGAACAAGAGCAGGGAAATGAACGATCCTGGTTCCATCAATTGAGGAGAGTTCTAAATGGAGCAGGGTGAATGTGTTCACAGAGAGAGGAGATGGATTGGGGGGGGGAGGTAGAGGCGAGGAGCAGGTGTTGAGGGAGAACAGTGCCAGGCTAGTAGGGTAGATAGAAACTAGGGATGGAGGGAAAGATCAAAGATTGAAGAAGAGTGAAGTCCACGGGAAGGCAGCAAGGCTGGCTGCAAGTCTGTGAGACCCTTCCATAGGGATGTAAGGACAGCCTGAGGATAGGGATGGGGCAGTGAGTTAATTCAGGGAGTGGGGATCCAGGGAGAGTGTTGGGGAAAAAAAAAAGACAGTGGGTACAGTGGACACTGTACAAAAGTGAACTGGGTTGAGGGGCTCCTTGTGGGGCTAAGATCTGGTCCCATCAAGAGGATAAAAGATTCCACTAGAAACGCAGGGGGAGAAGTCCTGAACAACTTTTGGAGTCTATCTTCCAGGAGTCTCCCCCCCACACACACACCTCTTTTTCTTTTGCCCCCAGCCTTTGTCCCTGTGGTTCTTTTCTCCCGGACTGCTTTTCTGTGTGGGGGAAGAACTCCTATTCATCCATCAAAACCCAGTTCTAAGAGCACTTCTTCCGAGGAGCCTTTCCACCTTTCTCCAGCACTCCATACACCTTTTTCCGCTTCAGCGCACAACGCATCCATCCCTCGGCCAAGATGTCATGGTCCATTTTTCCTAGAGGCTGGCGGCTCTGGACACACGGTTTTCATTCTTTCATTCTCACTGCAACCCTAGTGAAGAGACCGTGGGTAGACGGAGGAGAGGACTGGGATAAAATGGATCCGGAACATGGAGTAGAAACGGTGAGGACAGGGTCAGGACACGGTGGGAGTCAGAAGGACCAGCGTGGACCAAAAGCCACCACAGGGCTCCGAGACCATGAAGATGTCAGCAGAGGAAAGAGAGCCTCTGGGGGGCGCCCGAGACCTTAGTGTCTATCAGGGACTGCGAGTGGCCGCGCTGGCGGCCCCTCAATGAGTGACTCAGCTACTACCTCTGGCGGGGGCGTAGGGGTGGAGGACTGCGCTAGGGGCGGCGAGCGCGGCACCCACCCGCCCAGGAGCCCTGCGCGGTTGCTAAGCTCTCCAAGGCCTTAGAGAGACGCGATCTGCGCGAACCTCATCGGTTACTATGGTAACTCTGCGCCCCAGCCTCTCGCGCGCCACGGCTGAGGAAGGCGCAGCCAATCAGAAGCTGCAGGCGTTCTCGGGGACCCACTCCCACCCTCCGACTTGTGGGCAGGGGTCAGGAGGTGCCGGGAGGAGGTGCAGCGTGGGCCGCGGAGACCCGGCACTCACTACAGGCCCGATGCGGCGGCGGGGCCGCGTGGGGACACTTCCGGAGTAGCCGCACGAGTGCCCCAGCGCCAGTGCGGGGTCCCCTCCCTCCCAGAAGGGGCGTCACCTGCAAGAACCGAGCCTTCCTGTGGGGTGCAGAACCTTGCCGGGGGATCCGTGCGGTCACGTTCCGGGTTATCGGGTTAGAGACGAGGTCGAGCAAGCAGGTCCCTCAAAATGGCTCACACGGGGAATCTGGAGGCTGGGGTCGCTTCTGCGGGATCCCCAGGAGGCGCTGTCCAGCCACTCCCAGTCGAATATCCTGGGGTCGCTCCAGAGGCCTCTAAGTTCGGGGCAGGCTGATTGGGTAACAGCCCCGCCCAGGCTCATGCAGGGCCCTACGTGACAGCCTCGGGATTATCCCAGAGAGCCAGGACTTGAACTGTGGAAGGGGGCAGACGTGTATTTGTGCCGACACGCGCGCCCGCAGGTGTCAGTACCTGGAGAGGGTCTGGGTGCAAACGGGTTTATTCCGTGCATACCTAAACCCAGGTGGCTGAGTCAAGGTGGGCGTGTTGGGGGTGGGGTGGGTATAAACGGACAGTCCCATCAAGGAATGTCTAAGAAGTCGCCCCCAAGATCTTGTCTACCTTCTTCTCTCTTACGACTTCCCTAACCTCCCTCCCCCCATCTGGTTGTCCCCAGAGTCCTCTCCTTGCGGGCAGGACTTCTCCAAACTGAGGCAATGTGAGAATCTAGAAACATGTACAAGGGAACGTTTAGCTCAAAACCCCAGAGTTTGTGGGCCTCGAAGTTCTGGGGCCTGGGTTCTCACGTGGCCACATCTGGGAGGGTGAACCTGTAAACAGACCCCTCTCGCGGGTCCAGCTCCGCGTCTGTGAGCCTTCAACTCAACCCAGGTGCGCGAGAGGGGGGTCGCCCCTGTGCCGCGCAAAGCCCTGCACGGCCACGAGGTGGCGCCATAACCGCAGCAGCGCGTGCCGGCCCGGGCCGCTCCAGATAAGAGTGTGCGGAAAGCGCGGCGGGGCTGAGACGCGACCAGGACGCGGGGAGGACGGACCAGCAGGACAGACCGACCGGGGGCCCGGCGGGCGGAGGGCAGCGCAGCGCAGCCACGTCCCCCCCTGGATCCGCCGGCAGCCGGGGCCGGGGCTTCCGACATGCCCCCCAGGTAGGTCCTGAGGCTCGGGACCCGGAGGGACAGGAGACCCGGACAGCCCGGTCCTTAACACGCTGGCCGCCTCGGGCGCATCCTCCGGCCCGGGTGCCCCAATACGGCTGGCGTTCAGGACTCGGGGTGTCGCCCCTAGAGGATTCAGGACCGCCGGGCCGCTGCTCTGCGCCGGGTTCACGGCGGGGTCAGTGGCCCGGGGCCGACTCTGCCTGCACATGGGCAGGGGAGGCGAAGGGAAGGGAAGGGGAGCCGGCGGGCGGGGCTGGTAGGGGCGCTGCCCTGGCACAGCTCGGCGCCTGGCAGCAGGGCGGGTGGGGCGCCGGCTAGGAGCTGCCACCGCCACGGGGAGGGAGGCCGGGTCGGGTTGCGGCCGCAGGTAACGGGCCGCGAGGCCCTGCGGGCCAGGCGGAGAACAGGGTGGGCGGGCGAGCGAGCGGGTAGGGGAGCTCAGGGCTCGGCTCAGGCTTCCAGGGCCGCCTGGCTGCCGAAGATTGGGGGCCGAGAGGGAAAGCTGGGAGTCGAGGGACTCGGGCTGGCGCGCTTCTCCCGGCCTGTCTGAAGTTGGGAAACTTTTCCCCAAGTTTGGGGCGGCGGAGTTCCCGTGAAGAAGGGGCCGAAGGGAGCTAGAGAGGGAGGCGCCGGGGCCCGCGAATGCAGAGCCGAGGCCGAGGCCGGGGCCGGGATGCGGGTGGGGCGCAGGCCAGGGTCAGGGCCACAGCCGGCTGTGCGCCGTGCCCGCCCGGGGCGCTGCCCCCTCCCTCCCCTGGGAGCTGCGTGGCTCCCCCCTCCCCCCCCACCTGCTTCCTGCCTCAGCCTCCTGCCCCGATATAACGCCCTCCCCGCGCCGGGGCCGGCCTTCGTGCTCTGCCCGCCACGGCAGCCTCTGCCTACGCTCCCCGCGCCGCGGCCGCGCCCCGGCCCCAACTGAGGGCCTGACAGCCCCCGGGCAGGGCGGCGCCACGGCGGGCACCGCGCTCCCCTCCACTGGATCACTTCCCCCAGCTGGGGCAACTTCTCCCGAGGCGGGAGGCGCTTTTTAACTCGGCTCCCTTATATCCCAATTGGGCAAACTTCTCGGCCCTGAATGACTTTTCCTGAAGCGGACATTTTCCTCAAATCCGGTAACTGTCTCCGAAGGGGTCACTTCCCCCAAACAGTTTTCTCCTCGGAAGTCCCCAGAACCCAGCCTGTGTGCCCGGTGGCATCCAGGGCTGGGCGTGTAGGCCAGCCCGGCCTCCTCTCCAGATCCACTCTTCCTACGCCGTCTTCTGGTTCAGGCTACCGGTCCAGGCTCCCACACCAGGAGGCCGCCTGTCCTCTGCCAGTGCCCAGGCCGCGGGGCTCGATGCCCCTGCCCGGCTGAGGGGAAGGGGAAGTTGGTGGGGGGGGAGCAGCGCCCGGCTGGATACAGGCAGCAAGGGCGCGCTGAGGCTCTGACCCCGAGGCTGTGTGTCCCCGCAGGAGAGTGTGCTGGGCAGACGATGCTGGACACGATGGAGGCGCCGGGCCACTCGAGGCAGCTGCTGCTGCAGCTCAACAACCAGCGCACCAAGGGCTTCTTGTGCGACGTGATCATCGTGGTGCAGAACGCCCTCTTCCGCGCCCACAAGAACGTGCTGGCGGCCAGCAGCGCCTACCTCAAGTCCCTGGTGGTGCATGACAACCTGCTCAACCTGGACCATGACATGGTGAGCCCAGCGGTGTTCCGCCTGGTGCTGGACTTCATCTACACCGGCCGCCTGGCTGATGGCGCGGAGGCGGCGGCCGCAGCGGCTGTGGCCCCGGGGGCTGAGCCGAGCCTGGGCGCCGTGCTGGCCGCCGCCAGCTACCTGCAGATCCCCGACCTCGTGGCGCTGTGCAAGAAGCGCCTCAAGCGCCACGGCAAGTACTGCCACCTGCGGGGCGGCGGCGGCGGCGGCGGCGGCTATGCACCCTACGGGAGGCCGGGCAGGGGCCTTCGGGCCGCCACGCCCGTCATCCAGGCCTGCTACTCATCCCCGGCCGGGCCTCCGCCACCGCCCACCGGCGAGCCGTCCGCGGGCCCCGAGGCCGCAGTGAACACGCACTGCGCGGAGCTGTACGCCTCGGGCCCCGGCCCGGCCTCCACCCTCTGCGCCCCGGAGCGCCGCTGCTCCCCGCTCTGCGGCCTGGACCTGTCCAAGAAGAGCCCGCCGGGTTCCGCGCCTTCCGAGCGGCCGCCGGCCGAGCGCGAACTGCCCCCGCGCCCAGACAGCCCTCCCAGCGCCGGCCCCGCAGCCTACAAGGAGCCCCCGCTCGCCTTGCCGCCGCTGCCGCCGCTGCCCTTCCAGAAGCTGGAGGAGGCCGGCCCGCCTCCGGACCCGTTCCGCGGCGGCGGCGGCAGCCCGGGACCCGAGCCCCCGGGCCGCCCCGACGGGCCCAGCCTCCTCTACCGCTGGATGAAGCACGAGCCAGGCCTGGGCAGTTACGGCGACGAGTTGGGCCGGGAGCGCGGCTCGCCCAGCGAGCGCTGCGAGGAGCGCGGCGGGGAACCGGCTACCTCGCCCGGGGTGCCCCCACTAGGCCTGGCGCCGCCTCGATACCAGGGCAGCCTGGACGGGCCAGGCGCGGGCGGCGACGGCGACGACTACAAGAGCAGCAGCGAAGAGACGGGCAGCAGCGAGGACCCCAGCCCGCCCGGCGGCCACCTGGAGGGCTACCCGTGCCCGCACCTGGCGTATGGCGAGCCCGAGAGCTTCGGGGACAACCTGTACGTGTGCATCCCGTGCGGCAAGGGCTTCCCCAGCTCGGAGCAGCTGAATGCGCACGTGGAAGCTCACGTGGAGGAGGAGGAGGCGCTCTACGGCAGGGCCGAGGCTGCTGAGGTAGCTGCGGGGGCCGCCGGCTTGGGGCCCCCTTTCGGAGGCAGTGGGGACAAGGTCGCTGGGGCTCCGGGCGGCCTGGGCGAGCTGCTGCGGCCGTACCGCTGCGCGTCGTGCGACAAGAGCTACAAGGACCCGGCCACGCTGCGACAGCACGAGAAGACGCACTGGCTGACCCGGCCCTATCCGTGCACCATCTGCGGGAAGAAGTTCACGCAGCGCGGGACCATGACGCGCCATATGCGCAGCCACCTGGGCCTCAAGCCCTTCGCGTGCGACGCGTGCGGCATGCGCTTCACGCGCCAGTACCGCCTCACCGAGCACATGCGCATCCACTCGGGCGAGAAGCCCTACGAGTGCCAGGTGTGCGGCGGCAAGTTCGCCCAGCAACGCAACCTCATTAGCCACATGAAGATGCACGCCGTGGGGGGCGCGGCGGGCGCGGCCGGGGCGCTGGCGGGTCTGGGGGGGCTACCCGGCGTCCCTGGCCCCGACGGCAAGGGCAAGCTCGATTTCCCCGAGGGCGTCTTTGCCGTGGCCCGTCTCACGGCGGAACAGCTGAGCCTGAAGCAGCAGGACAAGGCAGCCGCGGCCGAGCTGCTGGCGCAGACCACGCACTTCCTGCACGACCCCAAGGTGGCGCTAGAGAGCCTCTACCCGCTGGCCAAGTTCACCGCGGAGCTGGGCCTCAGCCCGGACAAGGCGGCCGAGGTGCTGAGCCAGGGAGCGCACCTGGCCGCCGGACCCGACGGCCGGACCATCGACCGTTTCTCCCCAACCTAGAGCGCCTCTTGCCGGCCCGCCTTGTCGTCGCCGTCGCGTGGCCACCCCCGGCCCGTGCCCCCCAGGGGACGGCGGCGGCGGCAGAGAGCAGGCACACCGCGCCCGGGACAACTGTAGTAGCAGCGGCAGCGTCGCCGCCGTGGCGGCGGCCCCACCTGGCCTCACTGCTTTGTGCCTTAGCCCGGGGGGTGGGGGTGGGGGTAAAACCCCGGGACGGGGGTGGGATGGGGGAAGGGAGATTTATATTTTTGATATCAGCTTTGACCAAAGGAGACCCCCGGCCCTTCTCCGCCTCTTCCTGTGGTTCGTTGGCCCCCTCCCCCCCCGCTCCGTGCTGCTCTTGGAGGGAGGGGTGTCACTGTTGGGGCGCTCCCAGCCCTACCTCCGGCCCTTGCGACCACACCCATTCTCACTGTGAATCTCCCCGCTGGGGTCGGAGCGTCGGGCAGAGCTGGGGAGCGGGGAGGGGACTGAGCCGGCCGGAGGGCCCCCCCCCCCCCCCCCCCCCCCGCCCCCCCCGGGACTGATAATGTGAAGTTCCTCATTTTGCACAAGTGGCACTAGCCCCAGGGCCAACCCTTCCCTCCCTCCGGAGTCTGAGGGCTGAGACAGCCCTAGCCTACTGGTCTCCCACTCCCGCGGTGTCCTCCCCATCCCTCCCTTCCCGGGGGGCCCGGACCATATTTATTGCATGCGCCCCGGGTGGCCCCCCACCCCAAGCCCAGGCTGAGCTGGGCTGGAACGTGGTCTCTTTAGCTCCCTCCTCCCCGTTTGTATATTTCCTACCTTGTACACAGGCTCTTTCAGAGCCGCTTCCATTTTCTATACTCGAACCAAACAGCAATAAAGCAGTAACCAAGGACCCTGGACCCTGATGCTCTCTTCCACCCTGCACAAGGACCTGGGTGGGTGGAGGGGCCAGACACTGCACCCTCATACAGGTGCAGTGAGACGCTTGGACCTTCTTCCCTCCCCAGTCCCAGAGACAGACAGGCAAGAGGTCAGGCATGTTAATAACTAAAAATTTATTAAGGAAACAAAACCAGTGCTGCAAATGGGACAGAGAGGAGATGGGTCTCCCACCCACCCAGTCATTGGCCTTCATCCAGGGGAAGGATCTCAAAAGAGAGGCTGGGGACCCTCTACCCCAAAGAGCCAGTCTTCTGAGGCCCTTGGGGGACTCACAACCCCAAAACACTGGTGGCTCTCATGCACAGTACCCCCTCCTCCTGCTATAATCTTGGGCCTCAGGGAGGGTACAGCTGTGCTCCCATCCTCTGGGAAGGCTGTACAGTCCAGACAGGGAGCTCTGGGGGATTCCCACTCTGGTCCCACCAAAACTGACTCCTGGCTCCTTCTCAAAGTCCTGTCTTTCTCCTAGTTCCTTTCATCCCTGTCCTGGGGTTGGGAGAACCCATTCCCAGTAGGAAGCCCCTCAAGTGAGGCTTTGGACACAGGTGCCAGCTAGAGAGGCAACAAAACCCTTAAAGGCCATAAGGCCCCTGTGTCAAGTTCTTCTAGGGCAAAGCTAGAAAGGGTGTACGTGCTGGGCTAGGCAAATGCTCCTCTCAGGCACTGGCCCACCCCACCCTCAAGGCTGGGCTGGAGGAGCCTGGAAGTTTCTCAGAGCACAGGGGCCTGAGAAAGGAGGTCAGGGCAGGAAAGCTTTGTTAGGTTCCTGGCACAGAGAAGGCAGAGGTACTGGAAGAGGAGGAAGATTCAGACCGGGAACCCCAATGGCAAGGACCTGAGGTGAAGAATTTGAGGGGATCAGGGAGGTAAGAGGGATCAACTAGAAAGGCAAGGAGGCCAAGGGGATGATTCAGGAGGGAGAGAGGGAGGAGAGAGGAGTGGGGAACTGAGGAAGAATCTGAGTGGAAGAATCTGAGGAAATTTGATGAAATGGGAACTAGAGCAAAAGGAAGGCCAATGAGTGAGAGGAGCAGGCAAAGGCCTCCCAGGAAGCATGAGCCCAAGACCAGATGTCCCTTCCCTCTAGACCCATGACTATCCAAGGGGGAACAAGGGACAAAGCATTAATGGACCCAGAATGAGAAGGACAGGAAGAAAAGCGGCAGGATGGATGTGTGTTTGGGGTAGGGGGTAGAAAAGGTGGGGCCTAGGGCTGCTTTATGGGACATGGTGTCCAGAATCCAACTTTGGGTCCATCCAGGAATCCAGGTCTCAGAGACACACACCCTGGGCACTCTCTTCATGGCATGACCAAGGCCTCTTGGGACACATTTGGTACAGGGGTTCTGAAGATTAAGGGGACCTATCGTTTCACCTGCACCTGATGGAAACACAACCCCCTGCCCTGTCTCCAGCTGAGAAAGCGGCTGAGTCCCTGGGCTGAGAAGGCCTTCTGCAAGCCCTTGAACTAGACAGGGGGAGGGAGAAAGGCCGAGACCGTGGGCGGCCTCTCCGGCTCACCCACCTGCTCTCACTGATGTCACTGCAGCCAGCCACCTCCCTGCTAAATCTTGGCAGCCCAGGAGGGTCCCAGCAGCTTCCGCCTGCCCCTCAGGAGGGGCTCTGTGAGGAGCAGCTCCCCCACAGCACGGCCACGGCGTGGGTTGGAAGAGGATGGTTTATTGTCTGGGTGGATTGGTGGCTCAGGCACGTGGGCATCTTCGGTGCTACGCTGGGCGCCTGGCGGCCTCTCAGGAATGGTTCCATGGCGGGGGGCCCCGGTGCGGCCCCCTCAGCCCACCTGGGCCCACGCGAGGAAAGCCGGGATGTCCCGCACAGGCACGTTCCTTGTCAGTGCCTTCACGCGCAGGTTGCGGTCATCTGTCAACAACACCACCTCCCGCAGCAGCCGGATTGGCTCCTCTGTAGGCATGAGAGAACAGAAGGACTTCACTGAGGGCACAGGCGGCCTCTCCTCTCTCCCAGGCCTCTTAGTAGCCTGGGAGGGGTCAGGGTCAGCCCTTCTACAAGTCTCTCTCACGCAACCAGCCAGCGTATCCCTCCCCTACCTGGCTGAGATGGGATAATGCTGGGCCAGGGCTGGCTGTCTGCTTCAGACCCCCGCCTCCAGCCTGGGACCACGCTGCCTCGTGTCCAGAGGTCTGCCCAAGCCAATGGCCACCCCAGGCCCCTCTCCCGGGAACCGAGAGGAGTAGAGGAAGCCCCTTTCCTTCTGCTCCTTTGGACAATATGGCTGGGCCTGGGCTCATAATTACTCTTCTCTTCTTGCACATCCTCTCCCTCCAAGGCTGGGAGGTCAATGCTTTAGATATTAAGAGGCAGAAAGCTCAAGGTGGAGCCCAAAGTGAATCCAGGCTCCCAGATGTGAGAAGAGGGGTTAGTTCAAGGGAGCTCTGAGGAGAGGAGGGCAAGGGTCCCTAGCAGAACTGTGCCAAGATAGCCCTGAAGGAGAGCCAGCTGATCTCCCCTATTTATATGAAAATAATCAATGTAGATGGTGAGAACCTCTAACAGTACAGAAGAGGACAAAGGAAAAGAAAACTCAAAGCCATCCCCCTAGTGCTCTCCCTTCGTGTGTCTCTGTCTTGTTCCCCAGGGGCTAGATCTATGCAGACTTCTGGATTTTTTTAAGCACATGTGCAAGCATATATACTTGTTACATAAGCTTTTTCCCAACAACATTATGATCATACTAGCCTATCTACTTTATTCAGATGTTATGTATTTTTTTTTTTTAAGATTTTATTTATTTGACAGAGAGAAATCACAAGTAGGCAGAGAGGCAGGCAGAGAGAGAGAGGGGAGGAAGCAGGCTCCCTGCGGAGCAGAGAGCCCGACATGGGGCTCGATCCCAGGACCCTGGGATCATGACCTGAGCCGAAGGCAGAGGCTTTAACCCACTGAGCCACCCAGGCACCCCCAGATGTTATGTATTTTAAAGCTCTTTCTATATCAGCACAAGCAGCCTTTGTTCTTTTTAGATGACCTCTTAGCAAGATGTCTGCCACGACCTCTCTCCTCCTAATTCCCTAACCTTTTAATGTACTCAGGAGGATTTAAGCCAGGGCCAAGCACCCACACAAATGACATCCCCACCCCTGGTCAGGCCGCTCAGTGGCAGGCCCACTCCTCAGCCCCAGGCTGGGTATTTCCTGACGGAGGTCCGGCAGACAGTGAGGCACAGGAAATGTCCTGCGGGGCTGACTGACTGCAGGGGGCTGGCGGGGCTGGGCAACTGCAAATGTCCAGGTCTGGACCTGAGCAGTTTCAGGCTTGCCAGCTCCAGGCAGGGAGGCTGAGAACTGGCTGTCAGCCTGGGAGGAGTTTGGGGGAAGAAGGGGGGAGAGGCTCATGAGGCTGATGCTGGTGGGAGATGAGAATGGGTGGGAGGTGAGGGCTGCAATGGGCAGACCGGGTAAGGAAGGCCACAGGAACAGAGAGGATGCTCTCAGACGGCTCGGCTCCACGGCTGGGCCGGACCCCTCGGGCATGGGTGGTGCCGTGCTGTGCTTTTTGGGGTTCCCAGCTGGCTGCTCCAGGCAGCCCCACCACTCCTGTCCTGGGGCTCAGACCAAGAGAGTCCTAGGCCTTAGGATAGTCGACTAAGGCCCAGCACTGCTGGCAGGGGTCTGCAGGGGTTTCTGTGGATACTTTCAGACATTTTTAACAATAAACATCCTCTGTTTTGACACTGGTAACTTCACTTTGTTAGAAACCAGAGACTGTCATCTTGTCAGGCCCCATCCGCCATAATCCACATGATTTTAAAATTCAACATCGTGTACATATAAACATTTAGTGACGGTTTCTCTGTGAATCTGACAAGTTAATCTGCTAAGAATTCACACTGACAAATGGGATTTGATTACACTAGCCGTTGCTGATGTAATTGTGATAGGGGCGGTCCCCAGGATGGCAATGAGTTCCTGCGGGCTGTTTGGGGTGAAGTGGGGGGTGGAGAGACTAGTAAAGCTGAAGCCAAAATGTGTCTCTGCGGAGAAAGAAACAGCTCTGAGGCTGGGTGGGGCCATAGCAGGATCTGAACGGTACTTCCCAACAAGGCCTTCTGCAATGCCGCCCACCTCTCCCTCAGGAGGTACCCCTCTAGGAAGCTGCCTGGGAGTAGAGCCCAAGCTCCGCTGTTTGGCTCAGCTAGGACTCCTTCCTACCCGACTTCACCACTCTAGGTCTGGCCCTGAGGCACAGAATATGCAGGACCCCTCTGAAGAACAGCACCTGTCGGCTC